TTACTGCACCACCACCAAAATTGCAACCGCCAACACTACCGGGTCAACCACCACTTGCTACACCATCACCAAAATGGGGACTGGCAACACCACTTGCTGCACCACCTCCTATAATACCTACACCAAACTATTCAATCCCACCACCACCATTAAACGTTTTAAATGTGTGTCTCTCTTGGTGGGTTATTCTTCTTGGCATTCTTTGCAGTTGGTTTCTTATACTTAGCCAAGAAGAAGTACTGGTCCCAACAGCAGCTACTTATGTGGAGGAGCAACCTGTTTGTCCCGAAGAGCCGCCGCCATATGCTAAGGAAATTGAGGCTATGGCAGTAATGGTTAAGGAGGACTATGGAAAGTGGTAATGGTGTTGGAAGGTGGCGGTGCTGGCGTTGGTGGAAGGTAGCGGCGGCGGCGGCGGAAAGCAGTAGTGGTGTTGGTGGAAAGCGGTGGCAGTAGTGCGGAGGTAGTGGTGGAAGGAGATAGTAGTGTAAGTGGCGGTGGTGGAAGACAGTGGAGGTGGCGGTGGTGGAAGGTGGTGGAAGATCGTGGCGGCGGCGGTGGAAGGTGGTGGTGGTGGTGATGGAAAGCGGTGGAGGTGGTGGTGGAAGGTAGTGGCGGTGGTGATATCAGTGGTGGTGGTAGCGTAAGGCAGTGGCGGCATTAGAAGGAAGTGACAATCAAAGGCGATAGCGGTTTTGGAAAGTGGTAATGGTGGTGAAAGGCGATGGCAATGGTAGAATGTGCCGATAGTTGCAGTGGCGGTGGAAGGCGGTGGCTATGGTGAAAGACGGTGGCAATGGTGGTGGCTATGGTGAAAGACGGTGGCAATGGCGGTGCTGAAAAGCGATGGCAGCTGTGGTGGTTGTAATACCTCTAGTTTTGAAAGGGATATAATCGGAATTTTACTATTTATTTTATTGTTTTCAGTATTTATTTTATTATTTATAAGTGCTTATGTGGCTATGTGTAAATTTTGAATTACGTGATGTGTGAATTGACTGGTTGATTTAATTTAATTATATGTTTAATTTGTATTTATTTGGCTTACTTGTTTATTTGTTTTATTTTGATCTCACTGTTGTAAGGAATTGTTTAATTAGGTAATTAAGTTAAATGAGTTTTTTAAATATGTTAAGTACTTAGGGTTCTTTGAGAAGTCACGTATGTTGGCCGACGTAGATTTTAAATAGGGTTTTCTATGGGCCGACTAGGATTTAGTGTAGGGTTTGAATTGAACCTAGGTCTTATGTAAACCTATAAATATAGGTATTAAGTTTTTCCTAGGGTTTTAGAACCCTATTCATGACAGTGGAGGCAGGGAAGGAACAGAGGAGGATTTCCTAGTTCGCCGGAGAAACGTAGGAAGACGACGCTGAGGTTTTGAACTGAAAACTCACAGGCAAGTTCTAATCCTAACTCTATCCCGTTGACTTGTGTTCTTTGCATGTCTAATTCAACTCCAGGATTAAATAAGAATCAAACTTAAACTGGATTACATGTCTCTGTTATTTTCCACTGAAGGTAGCCATGAGTTATACTGCTTGTTTTATGGTTTTTCGTATTCAACTCATAAAATAATTCACGTAACGGGATATATAAGGCATGTGAATTGATATACAAAGAATTAAATTAGCTTGTAACACTGGAAAGTATGAATGTGAATCTGGTTGGTATGTGTAGGTTCATCTGTAACAGTATGTGTTTGTGTGTTTCGTATTTGCTTGTTTTATTTCTTTTTAAAATTTTTCTGTTCTAAATAGAATGGATCTAGGATTAATGGTTTTTACAATATCTGGGACATTGGAACTTAGTTTTATTCAGTAAAATCATTAGAGTTGAGGACTGATCAAACTAGACGTCACCAGAGAAGACACAGTTGAAGAGAAGAAGCAGATAGGGGAAGAGGAGGTTGGAGGAGGCTCCAAAATGTTTTGGAGCCGGCTCAAAGTGACTTGGAGGCGGCTCCAAGTGGTTTGGAGCCGGCTCCATCTTGGTTGGAGGCGGCTCTAACTTGTTTGGAGCAACCTCTCTTCAGTTCTTCAATTTTCTGAGTTTTTGGGCGACTGGTTGGGCTGTGGTGCTTGGATTTTGGGATTTTTAAGTTTTGGCAGGAGCTATATTGAGGTGTTTTGAGATGATCTAAGTTCATATTATAACTTTTAAGAGTTGATTACTGTGTATTAAAACACCATTGTTCAGGGTGATACAGAACATAAGTCGGTATATGAAAATCCGGATACTGTCATTGGAGATGAAGAGTTTAATCGCTTAAAAATTAATTTAGTAGATTACTATGGATGGTTACAACATGTTAATCATGGAACAGTGGTAGGAACAAGTATGCTTAAGCTTTAATTACTGCTAGCTACGGATTAACTGACGTATAGAATTTAACTTGTTTCAGTTAGTGTTGGTTTGGTATAAATGGAAGCATGTGAATTGGTATATTCTGTTGTGCTATTTTGGACATGTATGATCAATTACTGGAACTTGGTTACTCTGTTATGCTTAATGGGAACCTAGTTGCTAAATATACAGTATTGTGTTTTATAAATTTACTGCATATCTTGGAATGGTTTAAAGTGAGCATGTTAATTCTGATAATATTATTATTATGCTCATAGTGAATTACATAATGGATTATACCTGCTCTCCGTGTTTTTGATCTTATTAGAGAATCATGTATTGGTAAAACAGAACAAGTATGTTATACACATATACTGGTTATACATGTGATGGACTCTTGTTATTTTTGTTATAGATTAGTTGGTATTTACATATATATATATATATATATATATATATATATATATATATATATATATTTGTATTATCATCTACTGGATGGATGGATTGTATGCACCGGTGTGAGACGGTGACATATTAGGGATGGATTAGTAAAACACTAAAACCTACATATTTCGGAATAAGTTGGATTAACTATAAAAAGTTAAGTCCTACTTATATGGATGTCTATGCACCGGTATGGGACGGTGGCATATTAGGGACGGCTCAGTTCAAAACACTGAGACCTACCTATATTGGGGATGGATTAGTTCAAACACTAAGTCTTACCTATATTGAAATAAGATAGATTAACTACAAAAGTTAAGTCCTACTTATAACTAGGTGTCAGGTCAATAAACTTTTTGAATGACACACTTGGAACGGACTTTATATATTTATGTTATGGTACCGCGATATGAGCTTGAGTCTCAGAGTCGACGGTTAGGGAGCGTATATGTAGTAGGATGCATAGTTGGCTATGATGGTTAGATGTGTACCATGGTAGGTCTAGGTAGTCATGTCCACCTCATGTGCGTTTTGCATAGTGCCTACTAGTCAGGTTGAGACGGGCCTATAGTCCAGTGAAAGTCATGTAGTATGAATATATATATATATATATAAATCTACGGACTATTTAGTTATTGTTGAGTTGGTTAGAATGTATATGCTTATCGAGTCTCTGCTTGGATTGTAGTTGGTTAGAACTTGTTCGTGGGCCTGACCTACCTCTATTTTTCAGGTACTCGTCAGTTCCAGACTTAGACTTGATCGTGCTGAGCAGAGACTACTACTCACTTTTCCGACGACGTAGGACTTTTCTCCATGGTTTGCTCTGGATGTTCTTTAAGTAGCTTTCATTTCAGTTTGGATTATTATTAGGGGTCCATTAGAGATGGATTCCCGAGTTGTTTTAGAATTGGAGAAGTTGTATGTATAAGACTAATTATTTATTTATAAAATTTTATTCTGAGGTTTTTTCCTATAAAGGATTTTCATTTTAGTTTCTTTTCAGTAATTTTTTATTCATTCATGCTATCTTAATTGTATTCTGTGTTCGTTAATTACTAATTGATTTGATATCCTCGGGTAATCAGGCGTGGGCTTGGCCAACCCGCATCCGGAAATCCGGGGGTATCATAGTGGTGGCGGTAGCGGTGGTTGCGGTAAAGGAAGGCGGTGTCGGTGGTGAAAGGCGGTGGCAACGGTGGAAAACAGTGGACGAAGGTGAAAGTCGATGGCAGCGGTGGTGGTGGTGGAAGGCGGAAGTGGTTGTGGTTGTGGTGAAAGGTAGTGGTGGTTTTTGGACTTGGAATATGAGAGTTTTTTGGGAAGTTGATTTTTTTTTAAAATTTTTTTTGAGAATGGAATGGCCATTCTATAGGCTAAATTGTGGAATGAACTTTCATTCCAATGGAAAGGTCATTCCCATTTTAAATTGCATACCAAACAAAAGAATGGTTGAAATGGACATTCCATTTCATTCCTTTCAATTCCGTTTATACACACCAAACGCAACATTATGAGTCTGATAGGTTTAATTGATCGTAAAATAAGAGACGATACTAAAAGGAAAAGGAGAGTCAAAAATCAAAAGATTAATACTCACAAAATCACTTTGAACTCTATTAAGATTTAGGACTCCATTAACATCCATTTTCTACAATACAATTTAATTTTATTAAGATAATTTTATCATAAAAAATATATAAAGAGTCTCAACAACTACTTTAAACTTTATTTACATTCATTTTCTGTAATAGAATTTGATTTTATTGAAATTTTTTAAGTAGACATCGTCACTAACAATTAATTAAATATTTTTTTGTAATTACATGAAGGTATTCGATAGTGTGAGAAAGAGAAAAAAAAAAATAAAAAATAAAAAATAAAAGAGAAATATTGAATTCTTGAAAGTGAAGATGGGAAATGATAGCAGAAAAGATAGTAAAAAAAATAAAAAAGAGAAATTTAATAATTATCCTTTAAATATTATGACTTGACAAAGCCATATCAATTAGGTCAGAAAAATTAAGTCTGAGAAATATTCCTTACAAGTATCATTTTTCTTACATAGCCTCGTCATCCGTAAGTAAGACTTCTTGTACACGTGGCTATGAAGAGAGAGTACGTGTCGAAGCAGGCCAAGCTAGCTTGCAAAACAAAAGCGGACACCTCGAGACACATAAGATAAGACCGAGCTTGCAAAACTTCGTCCTTAAGTCTTAATAAATTGTTACCAAACCAAACACTTAGAAATATTCCCCAAGTCGTACATATATCGAGGGCTCAGATCTATATATAAATTATACATAAGCAGAGGACGGAAATGCAGAGGAGCATCTTATTGTTGATTTCACTGTTGTTGATTTGGGCATCGTCTTCTTCGATTACTGTAACAATGGCAGACAAGGCTGTAGATTCATCTTCCTCCTCCGCGGCAACGGTTCACATCGTTTACACTGAGAAGCCTGTTAGCGAAGAACCCGAAGCTTACCACATTCGAACCCTAGCTTCCGTCCTCGGCAGGTTTTAATTTCTCTCTATGTGTATGTGTGTGTGTATATATATATATATGAATTGTTGTTTTCTGATTTGTTTTGTGAAATACGTTTGTTGATTGTGTTAGCGAGGACGCGGCAAAGGGGGCATTGCTGTACAGCTACAAGAACGCTGCGAGTGGCTTCTCCGCCAAACTCACTCCAGAGCAGGTCTCCCAAATCTCAGGTGAGGGTTCTCTCTCTCTCTTTCTTACTGGTGGTGATTTTCTTTCCTCTATCATCAATTTTATGATTTGGGTTGGAATTTTTGGGGCATATATCCTATTCACGCTTAAATTCATCTAAAATTTGTATTTTCATCACAATTTAAATGGTTTTGACTTATATTGCATTTTAATATTTGGTGTGTATAGGCCATTACTGGCCATAATTCATTACTTGCCCTGTCTAAACAGTGCCGATCTTTCACCATTGCCAAGCAATGATTCGTTTGAGATGTTTGAGATATTTATATATGTGAAAAGTAGGATTGATTCATTGGTTGAATGGTGAAAAGATCCGTGAGCCGGATTCAAAGTACCAAAGTACGAGGGCACCGGGTACTTGTAAATTATGACATGGTTTAGATTTGCAGTCAGTTCACCCCTTCCAACACCCATTGCCTTATTTTATATTTTACATTTTAGAGTCGATCTCAAATATTTAGGATAATATGTTGTTGAGTATCTTTACCACATGATTCTCTAAATGGCTGTTTGTGCTAGTGTTCAATGTATGTTGAATAATTAAAGACTCTCTTTCCTAATTCCTGGAATTGCACCTCTGTTCTTTTGTACCTTCTAAAATATAAGTGTATCTAAAATATAAGTGTATCTTCAAGGAGATGCTATTGATGTGATACCTGAATACTTATTCTGCTCGTTTTCGAAGTCATGTCATATGGATTTGGCTACATGTGTCAGGTACATATATATAACTGTTTGGTCTCCCTAAATCTTGAATCTTAGGACAGGCAGACTTGGCTTGAAACGTGACCAAAAGTTAAGTACCTGTACATAGACACATCATATACATTTAATTACACTATATGTTTATATCATCTTTTTCTGTTTTTGATCATGGAAAATACAACATCCACTCACTTTGATCCTATGTGGACTTGAAGCCTTAACCTTCATATACTTAATTAGAATTTAAAATGAAAGGAATATGGTGAAACAAAAGGTTTCCATCTATTTCATAAGTAGGAAACTCCATGGTGCATGATGTTTGCCAATGATATCGTGCTCTTGGATACCCCTAAATGGAACTTAACAATAAAACTAGAAATAGAGAAATGTTTTAGAATCAGAAGGATGGAATTAATCGAACTAAAATCAGAAGGATGTAAATTTAACAAAGATTCGGGCATTGATTATATAATGATAGAACTTTGAAACCAAAAGGTTGCTCTAAGTAACCAATTTTGGTACCTAGGGTGATGGAGAGACTGATAATGACATGACTTGTAGAATAGGTGCGGGTTGGACAAAATGGAGGTAAGCTAGTATTGCATATCATGTGATAAAATAATAACACAAGCTAAAAGAAAATTTTTATAGGACGGTTATTAGACCATGTATGTTGTATGGGATGAGTTTTGGGCCCTAAAAATGGACAAGAAGGATGCCTTCATCTAGTGGAAGTAAGAATGTTAAGATGGATGTGTGGAGTGACTAGAAAAGATGAGGTTCCTAATGAGAGAGAGAGAAATTAGGTGTAGCATTCATTTGTGAGAAAATTAGAGAGTAGATTGAGATGGTCTGGACGCATCTATCGGAGACCTAGAGACGTGCCGGTGAAGCGAGGAAGACTTCTTGTTATAGAAAGTGAGATGGAGAGGGCGGCCAAAAATAATATGGGACAAGGTTATTAAAAATGACTTTAAAAAGTTAACATAGTATGGGGAATGGCCTGTAATAGAAAAGATTGGTGAAAGTGAATTCATGTGGCCAACCCCCCTCATATAGGATTAAGGCAAGGATGATGATGATGATGATGATGGTTAAGTTATTAAAAGCCCAAAGGTAAACTTCTTACTAACTTGTAATTTAAGAAATAAGCCAAGGGGATTTCAAATATGAAATAACATGAGAAGAATATATGTAACAATTGCTTTCTTTCTTAATTTTTAAGGAATTCTGAACTCATACAACCACTAAATGAATCTCTATTAGACAAGTGCTTCTTGTTTTTGGTTGGAGAGTGGGCTAGAAGTCTAGGTTGGATGGGGAAGGAATTATGATCTGGAATCTGCTGCTGCTCCCTGAATGGTCTTCCACAATCAAATTTAGGCATTCAACTAGGTATATAAAACTAATCTAACCAATGGATTGTGGCAACCCAAAGATTTATGGATTATATAGTGACAAATATGAATGTAAGAAAATAGTGCCCATCTATTATAGACTTCATAGGTTATTGTGCCGCTATCTTTAAGATTCCCTTCCTAGGTAATTTGTTGCCGTTATCAGTTCTTCTGCTTGGACCTAATCATCCATTCTAATCATCCATTTTGTCAAGTATATATGCATATGTGCGCGCGCTTGTGTTTGTGTCCCCAGTGAAATTTGAGGAAGAGTGTTGGTGTTAGAATATGTTTATCTGATGCGAATCTAACCTCATATGAATTATCTCTTGTGAATTCAGCTCTGGTTCAGCTATGAATAATCGAGTTGTGTATCTTCAGTTGTAATTTTATAATAAAATAGCAATATTCTTTTGTGAAATAAAAGGCGATGTAGTCTTTTTACATATGAATGTACTTGGCACATGTACTTACAAAAAAAAAAAGAATAAAAATTTATATTCAACACATATATTGTGAAGGGCACAATTTATTTCTTGTCAAATTTATTACAGAGGCTCTCATTTTTCCATAGTTTTGGTTCTCTTGAAGCATTATATGTGCATAATTCTCAGAAGATGGGTTTGCATGTTCTTATCCCCAGAGTAACTTATATCAGGATAAGAGGGAAGGAAAGGGAAAACTAACTGAAATATACGTTTTTTCGCAGAACAACCTGGAGTTCTTCAGGTTGTCCCAAGCAGGACTGTCCAGCTGCATTCCGGACATGGAAGGATGAACGTGTGAAACTTCAAGTCAGCATGAAGTAGTAGCTCTTGGGCCTGTATAGCTCGGCCAGGAGAAAGAAAGAAAGGTGTTTCTTTCCTAACGTATAAACAACTATATATTCGTGTTTATGGCACTGCACATGCCAACTTAATAAAGTGTTGACTCTAAACAATATTTGGACACCTTCAATTTGCATTATATACGGTAACTCTAGCCTGTAATATCGACCTACTATGCAGGATATAAGCCAGTTGCAACTGCAGTCATAATGTGTTGAATATATGAGAATATTAGAGCTTGAAATGCGTCCTCATTTGCATGATCATGGGATGAATCCTGAGCATTTTTAAAGTCCAATATTTCGGAAATTTGAGAATTTTTTTGGCTTTAAGCTGTTGAATTTATGGGAATTCTGTTTTGTTCACTGGTATCAGATTTTAGCACAGGTTTGAAATTCTCAATGTGGGTACTGTGATTGTATTTCATACTAACTAATACAAATTCATTTCAACGGTGTCTTTTTTTTTAAGCCCAAGGATGTTGGGACAATGTCGACATTTCCTAAGCCTATTTGCTACTTGACCAGCTTTAAAGGGCCGTGAATATAAATTTAGGTCAACAAGGGTTATAAATACAGCTTTACTGATACAGATAACAAGAAATTCCAGGGTGTTTCTTATCCAGCATTTCACCTACTTCAATTCGTAGAGCAAGAGATGTAGTGTGAACATGGTTCATTGGTACTGTGTGATCACGAGTATGAGAAAATACTTTGCAAAAATGGTTCAAACTGGATAGTGGTGGATTTAACAAGATAGTTTTATTCTCTTGATTCTCAACGGTTCATTGATGAATCAAACGCAACTTGAGTTGGTACCATTTTAGTGTTAATGCTATTTTTTCCTTCCTTTTTTCTTTTTCCTCATAATTAGAGCATCCAGTGGTTGTGTGTGTGTGTGTATATATATATATATATATATTTTTTTTTTTGTAAATTTGATGTGTCATAATAGATTTAATAAATATTTTAGATTATTTATTTTTAGCTCAAGTGGTTGTTTTATACATTTTGTGTATGTAAAAATATATTTTCAATAACGACCAACCAGTTTCATGGACTCTACTTAATAAAGGGTTGATTCGTTAATGAATGAGAAAGAGGATGTTGATGAAATATGCTGATGTAGTTGTGTAAAAAGATTTGACGTTAATATATATATATATATATATATATATATATATTTACACATCACACGTGTAGATGCTCTTAACAGGCAGAAATTTTCCTTAACAAATATATTATATATATATTTTTAACAAACATGCTACCTTAATTTTTTATTTTCCTTCCCTTATTATATATATATATATATATATATATATATATATATTCCTATAATATGTATATATTTTTTTGAAGATGTGTAAAAATGTCCCCTGCAATTTCTCCTTCCCTGTATATTATATATGTTTCCTTAAATTTTTTTTTTCTATTATTTCATTATATTCTATATATGTAATTTATTAATTTTACCATCCAAAAATTTATTAATTTATCTCCTCACAAAATTATCAATCTCTCCTTTTACATATCCACCTATGTCTCTCTATGTATATACTCCATGAATACGAATTTATATATATACATCTTATTATGTAAATATGTATCTATGTCTCTCTCTCTATATATATATATGTACATCTTATTATGTAAATATGTCCCTCTATATATATATGTACATCTTATTATGTAAATATGTCTCAATGTCCCTCTCTATATATACTCCATAATAAGATATATTATGATGTAAATATATATTTAGTGAACAATGTGTCCCCCGGAACAATATTGTCCATTGGTGGGACACATTTGAGTATAGAATTCAATTGCATTTATGTGTATTGGATGAAAGTCGCCGTTTCTTTATTTAGCCCTCCATTACGTTGGAACAAATTTTGAGATATATAAAAAACCAAGAGAATTATTTCAAAGTGAAATTGACTTGTAAGATCAGTCTTCCCAATTTGGTGATGTAAAGAAATATGTATATCCTTAAATTCTTGTTGACCAATCAAAATTGGCATCACATTTATAGTGCTCTGCAAAAAACAAAAAAAATAGAAATCCAAAACACAGTCAACATAATTCCACCAATCACTCCACCACACGTGGCTTGATTATTTATGACACCATATACACAAGTCAAGCCCCCGCAATAACCCCGCCAAATAATATATAACTACACAACAGAAACCGGTACTTTTCTCTCTCCTTCCAAGTTCCAATTCAAGAACTAGAAGTTATGAATATTATATCTATCTATCTATATATATATATATATATATATATAGAACTATAAAGGAAAAGGAAAGAAGAGAGAGAAAATGGATAATTCTCTGTTCTCACGATCCTCAAATTATAAAAAATCAATAGTTTTAATAGTTTCTTCCTATTTTTGCAACCCATCTCTATGATCACAATTTGACTCACCCAAGCTTTGCGGACGACCCTCTGTACAGCAAAATAATCCTTTTTAGAGAGAGAAACCGAGATCCCAATCTTCATAACACCCAGAAGAAACTAGAGAGAGAAACAGAGATCTCCAATCTCAATCTCTCCAGAACAACACCACCCATGAAGAAGCCAACCACAATTGCGACATCAAAGTCCTCCACGGCGGTCCTTCCTTATCAAACCCCAAGACTCAGAGACCACTACGTCTTGGGCAAGAAGCTCGGCCAAGGCCAGTTTGGCACCACCTATCTCTGCAAAGAGAAATCAACAGGCGCCCAATACGCCTGCAAATCGATCCCCAAACGGAAGCTGTTGTGCCGCGAGGACTACGATGATGTCTGGAAAGAGATTCAGATAATGCACCACTTGTCCGAGCACCCAAATGTGGTGAGAATCAAAGGGACCTATGAAGACAATGTGTTTGTTCATCTTGTGATGGAGCTCTGTGCTGGAGGCGAACTGTTTGATAGAATTATCCAGAAGGGTCATTACACGGAGCGAAAAGCCGCGCAGTTGATCAAGACCATTGTTGGGGTTGTGGAGGCTTGTCACTCTCTTGGGGTCATGCATAGAGATCTCAAGCCTGAGAATTTCTTGTTTGATACTCCTGATGAGGATGCTAAGCTTAAGGCCACCGATTTCGGGTTGTCAGTGTTCTACAAGCCTGGTTCGTTCTTGAGATCTCTTCCTTTTGTTGTATTTCTTATGATTAAATATTCTTCATTCTCTTATTGTTCGTTGTCAATTTATTGGTTTTGCTTTGGTGTGTTTGAAGATTCTTGTATTTCTATTCGATTACCAGCATATTGGTTGATGGATCTTGTTAGATTTCTTTATTCATCATCTAGAATGGGCATTTTGGTTCTTGGGCTATAATCCACCTTCTTAATTTAATTGTTTGGAATGAATTTTTTGGGTGCCGCCAAATAATTAGTAGTAACCTATTGGTTGATGGGTTTCTTTCAGACTGGACATTTTTGTTGTCTTGAGAAATTAAATTATATTTTTTGGGTTGTTTATCAGAACGGAATTTTGGGTTTAAATTGTGAGATTAATATTTTTGTTTTCTGAAGTTGAGTTTTATTGTTTGGTAGTTTACTTGTTCCAAAGGCAGTAATTGATTTTTTAATTTTTGCTGCTTGTTCCTAGAATGAAATTGTTGGTTTCAGTTTTTCTTATTCAAAATGAGATGACTCTAATTAGGAGGCCATTGGCTGATGGGTTCTTTTGCTTTTTTTTTTTTTTTTATTTAAGTTTTTGTGGTTTTGAGATATATATTCTTGAATTGTCGTTTTCTGTTTGTTGTTTATGAGGATAAAGCATTTTGCTCTCCTATTGATCATTAGGGAGTAACTTCTGTTTCCATTCTTTTCATTAGTGATTTAAGAGGTATCTTGATTTTCCATAAGTATCAAAAATTGTTCCAACTCGTTTTTAATTGCAAATTAAAGGAGACCAGGTTCATGTTAAGAGGTATGTCATAGACCTTGTTGAACAAGTTAGAACTACCTACGAGAAACCAGTAGGTGAAACAAGGCTTCCATATAGAATTCAAAAATCAATTATAAAGTAAAATATTTCCTTCTTCTTAGTTAAATTGGTTCAGCTGTGGTATGTATTTTGACTCCATCATCCATGAAGCATCAAGCTATTGCAGGCTAGCTTTTGATGTGAAGTCTAAGTCATAAAATCTTCTTCTTCATTTAAGCAGCAAGTGCTTCTGACCATAAACTTCAGACTGATGAGTTTATCTAGCATCATACTTCCATGAAACTTGTTGCTTAGGATGTGCAGTTATGGAGGTGTTCCTGCATCATTATGTCAAATATGTTCCTTGCCTACTTCTTGGCTAATGTCATTAAAGTAGGAGGCTAATGTGTTATGTGACAATGCCTGGGTTTACATGTAACATGCAGAAGCCTGGAATAATAACATCATGTTAAAAGGCATTATAACTTGTTTCCTCACAATGCCAGAGCATGCAATATACATTTATTTACATAAACTATTCTCAAGTTTCTAATTTATCATATGATTCATATGCATGCAAGAGAGCCCCAATTCATATAAATAGCTTTTAGAAGTTCAGTTTCAGTGTTTTATGACTTCCATGTAATTACTGAAAAATGAGCTGCAATCTACTTTCATGTCTGCCATTTTTCTTCCTATATTCTTGCACGGTATTTCATCAAATATGAATTGTTGGTAACTTTTTCCTTTCTTTCCAGGGCAATATCTCTCTGATGTGGTTGGAAGTCCCTATTATGTTGCACCTGAAGTGTTGCATAAATTTTATGGGCCTGAAGTAGATGTATGGAGTGCTGGTGTTATCCTATACATATTATTATCTGGGGTTCCACCTTTTTGGGCAGGTAGCCTTCTGGATGAGCTGAAATATACAACTCTCTGGAGCTGCAGTTGTATTACTGACAAAACAAAATTATTTTTCTTCATGTTACTCTTAGACTGATAATTCATTTGTTTCTTTCTTTTTGACTGGCAGAAACTGACTCAGGCATCTTCAGACAGATTTTAGAAGGCAAGTTAGATTTTGAATCTGATCCATGGCCTCACATTTCTGAAAGTGGAAAAGATTTAGTTCAAAAGATGCTTGACAGGAACCCGAAGAAAAGAATAACTGCACACGAAGTCCTATGTGAGTCATTTGTTTACTATAGCAAAAAATAACTTTTTTGAACTTGTTATGGTAGAAAGGGCTTCTTTGTCCTTTCTTCGTTAAAGCTCTTGTATATCATTATTATTCATGACAGTTGATTCTGCTTTTATACCAGGTCACCCATGGATCGTGGACGACAAACTTGCCCCTGACAAACCCCTGGATCCTGCAGTTTTGTCACGGCTGAAGCAGTTCTCAGCAATGAACAAACTTAAGAAAATGGCATTGCGGGTATGCTTTTGTTAATAGGTTCCCCGTTTTAATTTATCTTGCAAATGAATCTTCACAAGCATAGAATAATAGCTATTATGACTTTGTTGTCGCTAAAGCTTCCAGCTACAAAGTATCGGATACCAATACTCCTTGGATGTCGTTTCTAATTTAGTACAAATTTTATGACCATGAACATAACTTTAAGCTTGTTTGTAATAATTTTTTATAAAGAAATGTTAGTCACAATATATATAACTTTACAAACAATTGTTATTTTATATTTATACATAAATCATATGCATTTTTAATTTTTTTTATCCATATCCACATAAATACAAGATATATCTAAACATATATATTGTTGTGCTCTCAGTGTATCATATCCTATTTTTTAAGAATTTGTCATATTGTTGTTCTCATCGGTAACTCATGTCCATATTATCCCATGCACTTTTGCATGCTTCACATTGTTCCTGTAATTTGCGAAAAGTGATAGTAAACTTGCATCTGCTTGCATTCAGATTCATAAGATCAAGCTGATCATATATTATCTAGAACGTGAAGTACTCAATTTGGAGCCTGACATAGCTAAAAGGTTTTATATACGAATCATATTTAAAGCTCATAACTATTTAGGATGTCGAAAAAGGTATTTGAATTACTATTGATAGTCTTGTGCATGGTACTAGTAGTAGTAATATAAGTTGTGCCATCATTATGGAATTCACAAGCAATTTCTTGATTGGACTGCCTTTTTCCACAAAAATTATGCTTAGTGACATGTATCAATATCTGTCTACACTAACAGTATTAGATTTGTGTGTGTGTGTTGTCGTGGTGGTGGTGTTCACCTAAACCCATATTGATTTGAGATGCACACCATCACCCACTAACCATGTTCATTGGGTTGCTAGTGGACTTGAACTTGGCACATTCTGTTCTTGAGCCGGCCTCCATTTTCATTTGGTTTAGGTTCTAAATTTTTTTTTTAATAATGATTGTGTTAAATCCATGTAAACGGATCATTGATTTCTTTAACTGAAATTACCTTTTGCAGGTCATAGCTGAAAGACTTTCAGAAGAAGAAATTGGTGGTTTAAAACAGTTGTTCAGGATGATTGACACAGACAACAGCGGGACAATAACATTTGATGAACTGAAAGAGGGTTTGAAAAGAGTCGGCTCTCAAGTGATGGAACCTGAGATCAAGGCTCTTATGAGTGCGGTAAATATAATATCTTAACACAATTTTTTTCATTTAAAATGATTTTCTCATTTCGACTTTCAGTTTTTTTATTATAACAAGACAGTTGGATAAACTTAGTGGCGAACTTTGGTAGGCTGATATTGACAACAGTGGGACAATCGACTATGGTGAATTTCTTGCTGCTACCTTGCACATGAATAAGATGGAAAGAGAGGAGAATTTGATTGCAGCCTTCTCTTTCTTTGACAAGGACGGTAGTGGTTACATAACCATTGATGAGCTTCAACAGGCTTGCAAAGACTTTGGTCTAGGAGATGTTCATCTGGATGAAATGATCAGCGAAATTGATCAAAATAATGTGAGTCTCTCTGATTATGTCATACTTTGAGCATTTGTAGTTCATTTGACTTTACAACTTTTCAATTTGGCAATGTCTCATTATTTCAGCATAAACATGTTCTTCATTTTATTTTGAATGGCCTTATAAGTTTAACGGTGTTGTAGTTTTAGTTTATGAATTTACCATTTGCAAGGTGTGTTAAAGAGAACAATTGCTTATACGATATCAATTTTTTTAAGTGGGTTCTCTAAATTAGAATGGTAATTCCACTGTTCAGTCCATTTGATTTTAGGTATAGTCGGTATCGGTTTTCTGGTTGCTCTCTCTCTCTCTCTCCTAATGTGATTTTAGGTATTTAAGTGTACCATTTGAATTGCTGATGAATAACCTAAAATTTAATCACTTTTACCTTCAATTTTCCAAAAAAATGTGACAGTGAATCAGAAAAGAACATGTCTTTACTGGAGGAAATGTTTGATGCTAACTGTGGCACTTTGTTACACCAATTCACAGGATGGACGTATAGATTATGGAGAATTTGCAACAATGATGAGGAAGGGTGATGCGTCGGTTGGCAGCAGAACCATGAGAGGCAATTTGAACTTTAACTTGGCCGATGCACTTCAAGGAAACGACAGTTTGGTAAATCAACTATTGGCGTCGTCAGGGGATGCTTCACAGAAGGAAACCAGTGAGGATGTTTCACAGAAGGAAACCACGGAAACCAGTGAGGATGTTTCACAGAAGGAAACCAGTGAGGATGTTTCGCAGAAGGAATCCACTGGTTAAATCTTCAAGTACTAGTGACTCTTTGCTTTGGTTCATTTCACTAGCTAATATATAATACGCTTTTATAGAGCTAGATGGTATGGTTTTATAAATACGAATTAATTCCATAATTTTTGTTATACCCTGTTGTTGATTGTCCTTCATTGGCCACTCTGTTGGGAGAAACTACAAGTTGCAAAGCATTTAACCTTTAAGTTAGCATTTTCTAAACAGGCCTTTCAGTTGCAGCTTGAAGTGCTTTGCTGCAACCTTTGCAAATCTCCCTCAAAGACGATGCTGTGATTCCAATGTCCCTTCATGAACACCAATCCCTTCGTTGCCCCGAGCTCTTCAGCGTGGTTAACTGATGCCGTGTAACCCATGTGTTTTTTTCGCACAGCTGCCATTACCTCTGCTCTGCAATTCTAATCTCGTGCAGCAGATTTATCGTTGTCTTGTTGAATGCACTGTTTCTGGTGGAGTGTATTTTCTGGGTGTTTACAAATGATTTGTGTATATAATAACATGGGAAAGGGAACAAATTGAGTCAAAGATATATATACATGGAAGAGTTCCATTGCTGATGACTGTTATAAAAGAACTTTTGATTGTGAAGACATGTTTCTAAATTGTGAGAAAGCTATTTTTTGAAAGTTTATCTTTGAGTCTCACTACTGTTGGTGATAAAAATGTGCATCAATCAATAACATATTAAAATCACATCTCGTCTAATTACAAGGAGGTTATACTATGCAATTTGGTAATTTTAAAGAAAGACAATGCATTAATTACATATTCTTTTAAAAAATCTTAATATTTAAAGTGGCATTCTCAATGTAAGTAATGAAGGCTCTCTCTAAATGTAAAGTAGTGGAGGTCTGCATTTTATTCACGTACAAGTGGAAGGTGGCCCAATGAACTGGAATTTTATATTGTTTGCATTTTTATACTTATAATTTCAAAATTCACAAAAGACCTTAACAAAAATTTTCAAAATAAAAAAATAAAAATTAAGAACATTTCACATCCTGTCTAATTGCAGGATTTCAAGTTTGGGGGCACAATGCCCAAATGGTATTAGAGCCTGACCTAGTCAGAAGTGTGCTGACGGGGACGTTGGGTCTCCAAGGAGAGTGGATTATGATGACCTTGTGGGCAGGTGTGTCGTGAGCGGGTGCGAGAGGTACTGATAGACTACCACATTGGCGAGCTACGGGTACACAGTCCCACATCGCCTGGGTAGAAGAAAGGTGAAGTGCTTATATGTAAGTGTGTCATCTTCAATTGGTATGAGGCCTTTTGGGGTGAAGCCCAAGAACAAAACTGTGCGGGTTCAGGCCCAAGGCGGACAATATCATAAGGGGGCATCGTACCTACTTGTATGGAATGACTGAATTCTCTAATAATTTTTAAGTAATTATTTCTTAAGAAAGTAACTGTTTGGAATGGATTATTTTCTTTCTTTCTTCCTTTTTTCAATTTATAAATATTATTTTTTTTGAATTTTTTATAGTTAATATAAATTGACTTATAATGTTTCTAGAAATATAAAATGAATAAACATTCATTTACAAAGCCAAGTGCTTTTATTTCTTATTTCAATCTTAACGCGATTATGTGTGTTGAAAAATGATATATATATATATATATATATATATATATATATATTTTTAAACTTCAAGCAATTGTGCTATACACTTATACATGTGTATAGCCCGAAGTACTGTATCACTACAAAATGAGCCCCGTCCCACTAGATCCAATAACTTAATAATAGCGATTTGGTGATATAATGGAAAGTATATATTATAGAAATTTTTTATTATATGGTCTTGTGATTATTGGTCCCCATTAATTATATATTAATACATAAATAAAAATTAAGATATGAATTAATAAAAAATAAATTTTAAAAATCGTGACTCACAAATTTAATTTTGAACCAAGAGAGTAATAGATACAAAAACCTCCTTTAAATTAGTTGGGTTAATCGCCTAGAGCCAAGTCTAAACTTTGATTCTCAATATTATATTTTCTTTCTATATTGTATTATTGTATCTCATATTTCAAGTAAATTCTAAGAGTCTGGGGGTGTCATTACTCTCAAAGCTACTACCTTGCTAGACGGGCCAAATTTGATTGATTGATTGGTTGAAAAGTGTTTTTGAGTTGTATTTTAACTCCGATTTAAAAAGTCATTAATCAATATTAATATATAATTTATTTATATTTATTTCACTTTTTATTTGAATTTAACATAATACGATTAAATTTGATTAAATGATGCATAATTTAATTATTGGGTGTTGTGTTTTTTTTTTTTTTTTCTTATTTAATTAATTATTGAGTTAGTGTAACAAGTTTCAAATATAAATAAACTTGTCTCATTTGTATAATATATACGTAGTATATATTTTTTTCACATTTGTATAATATGATTGAGAATACTCATCTCCTTCTGTGTTCATAGTAACTTCATTATTTATTTATTTATTTATTATGATGTGATAAAACACATTAAACTAATGCAACATAACAGATTTTAGAATGAACTTAAGACAAGTAAAAATATTTTTAATTCAATAGAATACAGCTTTTTTATGTGAATAAATAAGTATAAATAACAATAGTCTCACCACAATAATAATTTCCGAATCTTATAGGTACACATTTAGAATTAAAATTTCAATCATAAGCATTTATATCAAATCTCGACATATTTGTATTGTATTATAAAAGGGTTTTGAACTTACATATATCACTTCCCTCTTTCACGTCTAAGCAATGCGAGACTTGTGAACACATGTAACTCACACAAAAGTCTTGCCTCTTCCCCGCTTGCTCCCGCCATGGAGCCTCAAAACAATAATAACACATCACCCTAACAAAATTCCGTAGAAATGCTCATGTATGCTGTAAGCAGTAGTGAACAACATGGAAAATAATTTTCTATTATTTATTTGATTAGCATGAAAGTTTTTTCAAAAGAAAATTATACAAGAAATTATAATTTTATGGTTTCAATAGTACAAAATTTATATAGTTCACAAAACAAAAGAAAATTTTTTTGTGTGTTTATTTTTTTGGTAGGAAATTTTTATGGGAAAAGTTAGGTGGTTCCTCAAAATTTCTCTTTTTCCTAATAACCAAACTTCTAAACTATGCAGAAAATTTTCATTTTGTCATGAATATATAAATATATAAAATATATAATGAGAGACGAAGTGTAATATAAAATATGTATACAAAGACCTAGCCAAAGAGAAATAGAAAAAAGTTTTATTACTAGAAAGAATACCCGATACAATATCCTACCATACGTATTTATAGATGAATTGCCGTTAGTTACGGCTTATGTGCCCACCATCTTTGCATCATCATACCAATCTTCTATTGCCACGTTATTATACCAATCAAATAGTTACAACTTGCTATATCATCGTACCAATCTAATATCACCATATTAATGTACCAATCAAATGCCTCCAACTATTCACACTAACAAACTCTACCAATCATGTTTTACCAAGTCAATTAACCATCAAAGTCCAATGTCTTAAAACATTACCATGTACTGATATATGTGTGGACCCACTTCTATAGCACATTTTATTTTTTTCATGCTCATAGGGATAATTTTTATTTTAGTTTTTCCTGAAGAAATAATGGTTCTACTATGGCTAGTCAAGTGTTTAATGAAAATTTATTAAATCTGTAATTAGAAATCATATGTAACCGTATATATTTTACATAAAATAATTTTTAACATATTACTGAAAAACATCTCCAGCCCGTTATGTATATATTTTTGTGTAAATATGATGTGTCATGATTGATTCACACAAAAATTTTGAAAGAATATTTTTCGCTCCAACGATTGTTTATAAATCTTCTGTGTAAAAATATATCCTTCAATAACAACCAACCACGTGTCATGTCAGGATCCACATAACTTTTACAAACTTACCAAATATAAGATTAATTCTTTTAATAGAATGTGAAAGATGGAGGAGAGAGGAAATATGTTGATATGGCTGTGTAAAAAAATTATGTAAAATACACAACAATTTTACACATTTATGTATCTTAACAGATTACTGGAGTTAAAAAAAATTTACACATCACACGTGACCGTGTATATTTTACATAAAATGATATTTTAACAGATTGCTGGAGATGCTCGTAAGGTTCTAAAATAAAGGGTGTAGTTTAGATTTAGAAAAAGAAAAAGGTTTGACAACTAAGATTTAAGCTTTTGCATCATGTATAGATCGAAATAAAGCCTTCTACATCTTCTTTGTAAGAAATTATATGAAATTCATGCTAAAACAAATTCTGGTTTGTACAATTACAAACCTTATAAGTTGTAACAAATCTTTTATTTAATTCTTTTCTAATTAGTGGGGTTGGGGATTGTATTTTTCCTTGGGTTCCGTTTAATTAGAATGAAATTAATAGTTATAAAAGATAGTGCGAAGGAAAATTAAATTTTTATTGTGTATTTTATCAACATGAAGTTTTTTTTTTTTTTTTAAAAAAAATAAATTATAAAAAAATAGAATGAAAACTACCATAAAAGAATAAATTCATAAAACTATTTCTAAAAAAATATTTATGAAAAAAGTTAGGTAGTTGTGATTATGAATAGTAATTTTTCTTCAAAATTTTTATTTTATTATTTTTATTTTTGATAACTACACTTTTAACGTGTTCAAGAATTTTTTATTTACGTATTTTCTTGCTATTAAAAGGTATATAAAAAATCAGTATGAAAACTACCAAAAAAGAATAAATTCATAAAACTATTTCTAACAAATTTTAATGAAAAAATTAGATAGTTATGAATAATAAATTTTATTTTTAATAAAAAAACTTTTAACGTGGTTTAATAATTTTTTATTTACTTACTTTCTTGCTATTTCCCACCAACCAAACGGAAAGAAACGTACTACACATATTTTATCCTCTTATCTTATTATACAGCCATTTACGGATTTATCCATAATTATAAATCTTCCCATGTGAAAACGCGTTGGTAATAAATGGAGAGTATTATCTATCTATACATACTCACATCACACATCACACATGACACAAACTTCTGAATTTCATTTGCAGCCTACTGTTCCCTTGTTGAATTGAAACCTAACCTCACAAACAATAATCCCCAAATCAATTTACAAGACTCCATTTCTAGGGTTTTCATTCGAACTCCATTTCTCTCTCTCTGCGGTCACTTTTTTTCGTTAAAAAGTTCTTTGATTTCACATATTTAAAAGAATAAGGTTTTGATTTTTGCCAGTTTCCAATCTTTCGATCAATGTGATGAGCTGCATTGAAGCTGTTGAAGCTCCAATCTGGATAAAAGCTAGGGTTTTTTTGGATCAATGTGGAGTCTACTACGCCATCAATGGCAGTGACTGCGAATAATGAAGCTTAGGGTTTCGGCGGTGTTTTTTTTGTATCCGAACTCATTGTTGATGGCGGCGCAAAGGAATTTGGTGGTTGAGACTGGGCGGTTCAGGGACGAAGAGAATGCGGAGGATTCGCCGACGAGGAAGAAGCCGATCGGTGCAAAATTGGAGGGGAAGTTTCCGTTGACGCGATGGGAAGTTGTAGCCGCTCTGGGTGTGTTTTTGGTGTTCTCGACGGGTTTGTTTTGCATATACCTGACGATGCCAGCTGCAGAGTATAGCAAAATCAAGCTGCCACGTACAATTTCGGATCTTCGTATGCTCAAGTAGGTTTTTCAGCTCAAATTCTGCATCTCAAGCTTTGTAAAGTATTATATGTCTCTTCATACATTCACATCTTTATTATGGTGATTTTGGTGGTTAGTTTCTCTGTTTATGTTTGAATTTAAGCTGGATAAAACCATACAATAGTCTATAATACTGTACGTGATTTTCTGTTAATGTTTTAGGTTTTGTTATCATACAGCTCCATTAAATTTTTAGTTGAAATTTGGTCTCAAAATTCAAGACCAAAATAAGCATCCCATATTTAGGATCTATAATTGTGACTTCCCACCTCGCCTTGGAGGGAGGTTGTTGGCACTTATATGTGTGGACATCTCCTAACTATTTTAATGCGTTTTAAAAACCACGCCGTTAGGCCTGGGAGGACTCAGGACGCTGGGTCCCAATAGGGTGATATGAGAATATCAAATAGGTTAATAGGAAACTTGACCCGATGGTTTTTAGGCAAGGTTTTTAGGCAAACAATCTTATGCTAAATAGATGATTGACATTGAAAAAGAAACGCGAACACATTCACGTTGCTGAATTGAGAATGGTGAGATGAATGACAGAAGTAAAAGAGATAATTAATAATCAACGTGTGAGGGAGAAAATAGGATAAGACACTTATTAGTGATAAAATAAGAGAATATAGATTACTGGTAGTACAACAACAACCACCAAGCCTTTTTCTCAACTACATGGGGTCGACTACATGAATCCTATGTTTCCATTCTAATCTTTTCAAGGCCATGGCTTTGGTCAATCCATATGCTGTCATATCCTTCCTTACTATACACACATTAATGGTAGGACGGACTTGATTAGATGCACTAATAAGGAGGGCAGTTCAAATTGCAGGTAATAGAGGAATGCATATCAAAACTAACATGGGATGGACAATGAAGTAGTAAGAGAAGACTTCAAGAAAGCTTGTAATGGACAATAAGAGAAGTCATGTAGCCAATCCCATTTGACTGGATAAAGGCAAGGACGATGATATAATGACGATGACGATATGATTGAAATAATTTTAAAGAACCTTTAGCAGATTGCCAAGTTCTTATGAGGTGGTTCGCTTTGAGAACAATAGAAATTTATTGTTTAATTAAATTTGAAAACCCATAATGTCCCTTGTATTAACAATTCCGTGAAGAAAATATTTTGATGACAAAATACCTTGATTGCTTAAGCAGTATAATAAATTTGTGAAGATATTAGCAGTTTTAGATCTTGAAGGGTCTTCAACATGCATAAAACAATGTTAATTGGATTATCCTATAAGAAACATTACCCTTTTTTTTTTTTTTTTTTTTTTTTTAACCAACGGAGAAGTGTTCTAGCTGTACCCGGCCCCTACTTCCCAAAGGGAGGTCAGCGGTTCGAGTCTCAATGGAGGCATGGGTGTGTGAGTACCAACTAAGAAAAAAAAAAAAAACATTGTCATATTGTGATTTGACTTGGTATAAAATGGCCTGCACAGTTGATGCTAAATAATGCGTAATTTTTTGGAAGGAAAGCCTATTGCAATGATGCCGAAATGGCTATATGTGTAACTGGTAATTAAGCATGTGCGGTTCTGTTTTAAATTATTTCTATTTTATATTTGTATTACATCATTGATTCGATGTTACATGGACTCTTTTGATCCCCAGCCATATCGGCGTGAAGCCACAGGGTTATGGATATTAGATATGTGTCCAACACATGAGTGCAAATTGGACAGGATAATTCTCTTGATATAATGATGGAAGAAGAAGAAAAGGCTAAATTTTGATATAAGATAAGAGCTGTGTATTCACATGAAATGATAGATGGAATCCCCTTTTTTTTCCATCATATCTCATTTAGGTTATATTCTAATCAAGTGCATCATCAAATAAAAATGAATCGTATCTTTTTTTATCCATCTGCTACATCCAACCAGGGGTTATTTAGTACCTTCTTTATAAAAATGTTTAGTTCTTCTTCTAGTTTTTGCATTTGTGTTGAGCTGCATTATGCTTCCCCTGAATTATATTGTTTTAAATTTTGTTTCAGAACGCATCTCGCAACATATGCTCAAGCTTACCCAGCAAAATTCATTCTGGGTTACTGCTCAACTTACATATTCATGCAGACATTTATGATCCCTGGCACCATTTTCATGTCATTGCTAGCTGGAGCACTTTTTGGTGTTATCAAAGGCCTTTTCTTGGTTGTTTTTAACGCCACAGCTGGAGCATCCTCATGCTATTTTCTCTCTAAGTTAATTGGCAGGCCTATAGTTTGTTGGTTATGGCCTGATAAATTGAGATTTTTCCAATCAGAGGTATTATTTATTATATTTTCAATTTTTATTTTTTTATTATTATTATTTTATTTTTATTTTTTTTATTCTATCATGATATCTTTCATTTCTGGTACAATGCTAATCTGAAACATTCTGGACTCAGATAGGTAAGCGCAGAGAGAAGTTACTGAATTACATGCTCTTCTTGAGGATAACTCCAACCCTGCCCAATCTTTTCATCAATTTGGCATCTCCGATTGTGGATATACCTTTTCATGTCTTCTTTCTGGCAACATTGATTGGTCTTATTCCAGCCTCTTATATTACTGTCAGGGTAAGTCTTTTTTTTTTTATAATTTTTTTCAATTTTTATTTTTATTTTTAATAATAATAAAAAAGCACGATTCCATACCTTCCATCTAAGTTGACTTTCATGTGCTAGTTTTTGTTTCTTTTTATTTTATTTCTCCCTCCCCATTGGCTTCACAATATGCATTCTAGCAGGCACGCAGGATTTTTTAGAAACACTTCATGCCTTTTTTGTGGAAGTAACAATAACTGTTATATGAACCCGCATAGGCAGCTCAGTTGGTAAGGCCTTTGGGGTACTCCCCTTAGGTCTCTGATTCGAGTCTCACCGAAAGCGAGGCTTGGGTTTAACTGATGCACGTGGTTTGCGGGCGATTGCGTGCATCTGGAATTTGCAAACCATTTGAGAGTCCTCGTTCTCATAAAAACAATAGTAATAATAATAAATAACTGCTGTATATATTAGCAGTAGATAAGTTTACACTCCTCCCTTTACCTTCGGATCAATTAGACGAGATTACAATGTCACTAAATAAGTTTTATTAGTAATGCTTCATTTTGAACATATTCTTGATTTATGCATATATAAATCCATGATCTCCTCTATGGTTACTGATTTTTAGTTTTGGTACAACCATCAATTTCATTATTTTTTATCAGCAACCACGATGACATTGGCACCAATGATAAAATGATTTTGTCATATCTTAATCTGATACAAATGCTTAATTCAGCACCATGTCGGTGGACCTGGATTTGTTGATGTGGCTATAGAAGTTTCATTTTTGTGAGGTTTTGGTGATGGACTGTTGATGCTTTAAGCAGTTTTGTGATTGATAATTTCAGATGCAGATGAAAAGAGAGTGACTGATTATGAATGTGTCATATAAAAATTAAAAATAATCAGTTAGGGTTAGGAGAAAGTATTGCCTTCACCACATAGGCTTTGATCTGACATAAGATGAATTAGAATCTAAATGTCAAACACACCCAATTTATTTATAGCATGGGTTAAATTTTCTGATGACATGTTGGCTACAAATGGGACATAATTGATGTAACTTATAATCAAACTGCTTAAGTTGAGAAGTTTTGTGTAAAATCAACACATAAATCTGAAATGTTAAATGAATTAAAGTGAAACTTGAACTTTAAACCAGGCTGCTCATATTTGTTTACTAGGCATCAATCTCATGCGATAAGTATGTGTATAAATTATAATTATAAATTACTTTAAACCTCTACCAGGAGGAAAGAAAAAAAGATAAAAATAAATAGGTAAAAGCTATACAATATGTAAGGTAGGCATCAATCTCATGTGACAAGCATGTATGTGGGAATGATGGGGGAGGGGGGAAGAACTATACAACGATGGAAGCTTGCTGAAAAATATAGCATTATAGAGTACCATAATTTCATAAATGAAACGCTTATAGTTTTTGGGCTGATGAAATAGTAATATATAATGCTGAAGTAGCTAATCTCACCTAAATGTTGTTGTTACTTTTCTTATCATCAGGCTGGCCTTGCTCTTGGGGATCTGAAGTCAGTCAAAGACCTATATGATTTTAAGACGCTATCTGTGCTATTCCTCATTGGCTCTATCTCCATGCTTCCTACCGTCTTGAAGAGGAAGCGAATATATGAATAAAAAGATGTTGAGCCCCCTCCATCCTCTAGCCAGTTTAAGATGATGACTTTCTTGACTGTTGGTGAGGAGGAAATTTCTTGCAAGGCCCTTTTTTGCGAAAAGCACCAGGAAACGAGACTCTATTTAATCTTGGCTTGTGATACACTGGTGGATTTACCCTATAGAAGCACAAAAAGCAAAAGTATTCTTTTCATTGCTTGTATCTGTATGTCAATGAAATATTCTCAGTGGGGATTATATGGACAACTGGGAGCCAGAAAAAATCTGGATTGCACGGGTACATGAATGTTGATTGTAGCAGCTATATACAAAGTAATTTCTGATTCAATTTTCATCTTGAAGTCATTTTAGCCATTAATGGAGATAAGGACATATGTTGTAAACTCATTTTATGGTGTTTCCTTGGTCACATTTGGTATCATCTATACTTTAATATTCTGTTGATTTTGCTACCTTCATTTGTCAAAAAAAAGTGTCGACCATATTATCTGTTACATGGCTCAATTACACCACAAATTTTTGCCTCCGTAATGGCACTTGGGGCCATCAAGTCTCAGCCAACACACAACACAATACACACAATATAGAAATGTAAAGAAGGCACACAAGTTTACAGGGACAAGCCCTAACCTTTGCTCATATTAAACATATTACAAAGGAACATGAGTTCGTACAAGGAACCAAGGCTCACACCCTCCTCTCTGTCCCCTCTACAAAGCCCACCTTAGCATTATATAGGCCACTCTCAAAACCGTCCATAACTGCCCACTAAGATGATGGATGACACCCCCATCCACCTAGGGTCGTGCTGGCACCCTCTAAATGTGCCAGCATTATAATGCAGTTGACAAGCCCAACTGCTAGACTTGTTGGCATGTTCTGCTTATGCCACATAACCACAAGAAGTTACATTCTGCATAGTGGAAGAAACCACCTTTAACCGCCTGTGTGTCCTCTCAGAATTGTGCCACATGCTTGGGAGGTTACTCAGCACTCCCCCACTTCCCATGATGAGTGGGAAGTGCTAGTAACTTCCCCTAACCGACCGAGCCCACTTAGCCACCACCTCTTGTAACCGCAAGCCATGACTTTGTGTGGTCCATGCTCTAGTCACATCTGAGTCAACCTTGTGAACCTAGCCCAAACTAAGTCCACCAATCTGCACCCACAAATATATGTCTCTGAGTGCACGCTCGGGTGCACACCTGTGCGCATGCTCGGGTGCACGCCAAAGTGCACGCCGACACACACACTGGTGCCCTTCTACGCGCGCCATGTTTGAACCCTCATGCGCCCGTGGCTATACGCCCGCCTGGACGCCCGCGCGCACGCCGAGCTAAACGCTCTCGCACACTAGGTTGGATGCCTGCCCGCGCGCCCACTTGCACACCCGCGCGGGCGCCGCTGCACACCAGCGCGCGTGTCGGTGCCCACTTGTTTGCCCTTCAATATCTTGGATGCTCCCCACATGTGCAACCATCTTGGAGTGGTGCAACACGTACCCATGCACGTTGGCTAAGCCCTCTAAGCAAGCCATGCCATAGCCCAACCGATGTGCTCAACAGACCCCTCCCTAGTATAGTCTTAGGGAAATCCAGCATTCTGACAGGAGTAAACATCACCCATGCTTGAGGAGTCATAATGGCCTTTCAGGCCTTTCTCGACATCCAAATTGAGTACCGTCTGCGCCAACCAGCTTCTATAGACTCAAGGTACCTCCCATAAAGATCCCGAGTCAAAACTCCAAGTTTCACTTTTCACCATATTTACGAAAATGCCACTGGGCACCCCTAGTGCACGCCGAGCATCCTTTTAAGCATCCTGTGTGCACGCTGAGCATCTTGTGCACGTTGACAACCCCACTGAGCATCCTCATGGCTGTCTAACCAAAGCCAAAGTATTCCCAAGACATGACATGGCCTTGAAATGCCCATGTCTTCCCTTGGACAACCGTCAAGGGGCTAACAAACCACCCCCACCAAAAGAAGTCGACGCCCTAGTCGACTTGTCCAAGTATTCCCTTACCTGTTTCTCAAACTGCCATAATGTCACATCCCTTTCCCAACTCGCCTCTACTTCACTGCATCCTTTCCACTGCACCAAGTAATCAGTTCTGCGATTTTTCTTACTCTGTCCCTGGGTCCGGTGAGACAAAATCTTCTCCACTTCCTTATTAAACTGCAACCGAATAACAGGTGGGGCTCTCTTAGCCTGCTGTCTTGATGTATCTGCAGTGTCCTCGTGAAAAGGCTTGAGGAAACTCACATGAAAAATAGGATGGACTTTCAGTTTCTCAGGTAACTGTAATCTGTAAGCAACATTCCCACTTTCTTCACAACTTCAAAGGGACCATCATACTTCTAAATCAGCCTTCTGTGAACAGTCTTGCTGCTTATCCAAATCTGTGGAGTTAATTTCAACAGAACTTTGTCTCCCACTTGGAACTCTAATGGCCTTCTCCCTATATTTGCATACTTTTTCATCCTTCTCGCAGCCTTGCCAAGGCTGTCCTGTGCCTCCTCCACCATTTCTTGCATGGAACGGGCATATCGGTATGCTACAGGGCATCTTCCACCAGTCCTCTGCACTACCACCTCCTGTGGTGTGTGAGGTTGTTGCCTTGTTGCCAACTGAAAGGGACTCATTCCTGTTGCTGAAGACCTGTGCAAATTATAAAAGAATTGTGCAGTGTCTAGCAATTCCAGCCAATTTTTCTGACTTGCAGTGACATAGTGCCTCAGATATTCTTCCAATAACTGGTTCATCCTTTTAGTCTGTCCGTCAGTCTGAGGATGGTTTGCTGTGGAGAACTTCAGTTCAGAACCCATCAAGCCAAATAACACTATCCAGAACCTTCCCGTAAATCTGGTGTCACGATCACTAACAATATCCTCGGGCAAGCCAAAATATTTCACCACAAACTTAGGAAATAAACCAGCAGTAACTTCCGCTGGGCATGCATGTGGTGCAGCAACGAAAATTACATACTTAGAGAATCTATTTACTACAACAAAAATATATCTCATACCTTCCACCTTAGGAAAACCAGAAATGAAGTCCATTGAAACTGACTGCCATGGACGCTCTGGTATAGGCAAGGGTTATAGTAGCCCTGCCTCCTTCTTCCTCTCATGCTTGTCTTTTTGACAGACCAAGCAAGTCTTGACATATAACTCTATGTCATCCTCCATTTTGGGCCAGTAATATGATCTGGATATCAACGCCAACATTCTATCCACCCCTGGATATCCAGCTCACTGAGGATCATGCATCTCCTGCATTAATTCCAGTCTCAAACCTCTAACAAGAACATATAATCTACCTCCTCTGGCATAGAGTAAATTATCTTCAATCCAATACTTTCTGACTTCACCATTAGCAACCTATTGCTTAAGTTTCTAATAGGCATCGTCGGACTGAGATTGTTCTTTGATTCTGTCAAGGAAATCAGTATACACCGTTGTCAACGACGCCACATACTCCTGCACTTCTTTCCTACTCAAGGCATCAGCAACCTGATTCTGTTTTCCAGGTCTGTGAACCCACACAAAATTGAACTCCCCAAGAAACTTTTGCCAACGAGCTTGCTTTGGAGTAAGCTTTTTTTGTGTCTTGAAGTAGGTATTGGCCACATTATCAGTCACCACTGTAAACTTGGTACCCAACAGATAGTGCTTCCATGCGTCAAGAAAATGTATCACTGCAGTCATCTCCTTCTCGTGAGTTGTATACCTCTGTTCAGCATCCTTAAGCTTCCTGCTTTCAAAGGCACATGGGTGTCCTTCTTGGACTAGGACCCCACCAATTGCTCTGTCAGAGGCATCAGTATGCACTTCAAATGGCAAACTAAAGTCAGGCAGTCTCAAGACCGGTTCTGTAGACACTGCCTGCTTAAGCATCTCAAAAGCTTTCTGGCACTCCTCAAACCAAACCCACTGTTTGTCCTTCTTTAGCAAGTCCGTTAAAGGACTGACCTTCTTGGAATACCCCTTTATAAACTTTCTGTAGTAGTTTGCCAACCCTAGAAAAGATCTCAACTCTGTCACTTTGGTAGGTGCAGACCAATCAATGATGGCTTTCACCTTTCTCTCATCCATTCTGATATGGCCTTTACTGATCCAATGCCCCAAAAACATCACTTTGGCGACAAAACTCACACTTCTCCTTTTTGACATATAACTGAAACTCCTTTAGTTTTGAGAAAACCAATCTCAAGTGTTTTAAGTGATCTTTCAATGACTCACTATAGACTACAATGTCATCCAAATAAACAATAACAAAACGATCAATGTAGTCATAAAACACATTATTCATTAAGTTGCAGAAGGTTGCCGGGGTATTAGTTAGCCCAAACGGCATTACAAGAAATTCATAAGACCTATAACGAGTTACACATGCAGTTTTGGGTTCATCTCCTTCTGCTATACGCACCTGCCAATAACCTGCACGTAAATCCAGCTTAGTAAAGTAGGATGCCCTTGACAACCTGTCAAATAAATCTGCGGCATTGGGCATTGGGTACTCGTTCTTCACAGTCACCTTATTCAGAGCCCTATAGTCCACACATATCCGCATTGAGCCATCCTGCTTCTTCTGGAACAACACCGGCGCGCCATACGGTGCCTTAGATGGTTGAATATAGCCAGACTCCAGCAACTCATCCAACTGTCTACGCAGTTCAGCCAATTCTGAAGGCGCCATCCAGTATGGGGCCTGAGCAGGAGCCCTAAAACCCGGCTCCAAATCTATTTTGTGATCAACAGCACGTCGAGGGGGCAATTGCTTAGGTAGTTCTGGTGGCATCACTTCTGTAAATTCCTCTAGAATTTCAGCAACAGAATCCGGAACTTCAACAAACTGGTCCGGTTTGATCTCTATCATAGTTGCAAGAAAGGTAGAGTTTCCCCTCTTTAAACCTGTTTTCACTTGCAATGTAGAGATTATTTCGATGCAGCCATATTTATGATCTTCCTTCTTTTGGTGCCCATAAAGAGCCACTGATGGAATAAAACATGGACAATACCTGTCCCAAATAAAAACTCCTTCCAAATATGGCATAATTACCACTCTGGCTTTCGTAAGGAACTCAATTCCAAGAATTAGATCAAAATCATCTAAGGTTACAGCCATAAGACTAACTACGCCCTCCCAACAACCAACTTTCATAGAAGTGGTGGCCATGCCTAAGACAGGCTTGGCTTCATAATTCACAGTTTTCATCTTATTAGCATGTGGAATTAACTTTAAATTAAAGTTACTTACTTCCCTCTGCGCAATGAAGTTATGAGTGGCCTCCGTGTCCACTATTGCCAAAACTTCCTTGCCGTTCAGCGTCACCTGAATGAACATGAGCCCTTTTAACTCCGTGGACTGTTCTTCAGTAAGAGTATTCAACATTTGCAGAGGATTGACTCGGGTTGGACCACATTCCGAGTCTGAATCTCCTTTTGAATCAACGACAATAGCACTCAGCTTCTCCCTCTTGGGGCAGTCCCTAACACGGTGGGGACCATTGCAGATGAAACAACCGTAGTTGGGCTTAGTCCCACTTCTACTCCCTTTGTTATTTTAATCTGCCTTGGCCTTGACAAAGCCACCGCCTTTATCCTTCTTTTGATTATTGTCCTTCTTCTTGTCCTTGAACCTGAAGGACTGGCCTTTGTCTTTCTTCCCCTCCTTGGATTTCTTCTTGTCTTGTGTAGTAGACCCAGTCATCTTGAAATCTACAAGACAATCTGCCGTTGTCATGGCAGTAGGAAGGTCCCTCACACCTTGCCTACGGAGTTCTGCCTGATCCTATGGTTGCAATCCGGACATAAAATTGAACAGTTTGTCTTCCTCTGACATATTTCGAATGTCCAGCATCAAGGAACTAAAGTCCTTCACATAGTCACGAACGGTGCATGTGTGCTTCAATTTCTTCAGAGATTCCCTTGCAATCCATGCAGTGTTCTGAGGCAAGAACTGGTCCTTCAATTCCTTCTTAAGGGTCTCCCAAACTTCAATCCGAGGCCTACCCGCAGAAGTATTGTCCTCTTTCCGTGTGCGCCACCATAGTTTTGCGTCACTAAACAGATACATGATTGTAATGGTCACCTTCTCGCCATCGGGGATCCGAGCAGCCTTGAAGTACTGCTTCATGTCCCATAGGAAATTCTCCAACTCTTTGGCATTTCGGGTATCACTAAAAGACTTGGGATCCGGCACCTTGATCTTCTGTGAAAGAGGATCACCACCGCCTCTGGAACTCCCATGAATGGCCCTCTTCACCAAGGACATTTCATCTTCAAGGTATTTCAGGTTCTTCTTGAAGACGTCAGTCAATGACTCAACATCTTTAGAGATACGGGTCAATTGCTCTTTGGTGGCCTGCATGAAGTCACCAAACCCATCAGAATCAGTCTTCAAGATCTCCACTTCAGAAGCCAAGTTTTCGATTCGAACCACAAGGCTCTCTGCACCATCTTATACCTCTGTTTCTATAGGAAAACCCACAAACTCTTCCAAACGGGAAACTCTCTCACGAGTATTACCTCCAGCCATCGTAGAACGGGGCTCTGATACCAATTGTTACAGGGCTCAATTACACCACAAATTTTTGCCTCTGTAATGGCATTTGGGGCCACCAAGTCTCAGCCAACACACAACACAATACACACAATATAGAAATGTAAATAAGGCACACACAGTTTACAGGGACAAGCCCCAACCTTTGCTTATATTAAACATATTACAAAGGAACATGAGCTCGTACAAAGAACCAAGGCTCACACCCTCCTCTCTGTCCCCTCTACAAAGCCCACCTTAGCATTATATAGGCCACTCTCAAAACCGCCCATAACTGTCCACTAAGATGATGGATGACACCCCCATCCACCTAGGGTCGTGCTGGCATCCTCTAAATGTGCCAGCACTATAATGCAGTTGACAAGCCTAACTGTTAGACTTGTTGGCATGTTCTGCTTATGCCACATAACCACAAGAAGTTACATTTTGCACAATGGAAGAAACCAGCCTTAACCGCCTGTGTGTTGGTCCTCTCTGAATTGTGCCACATGCTTGGGAGGTTATTCAGCACTCCCCCACTTCCCATGATGAGTGGGAAGTGCTAGTAACTTCCCCTAACCGACCGAGCCCACTTAGCCACCACCTCTTGTAACCACAAGCCATGACTTTGTGTGGTCCGTGCTCTAGCCACATCTGAGTCAACCTTGTGAACCTAGCCCAAACTAAGTCCACCAATCTGCACCCACATATATATGTCTCTGAGTGCACGGCGTGCCAAGCCATGCACGCCTGTGCGCACGCTCGGGTGCATGCCAAAGTGCACGCCGGCGCACACATTGGTGCCCTTCTACGCGCGCCATGTCTGAACCCTCATGCGCCCGTGGTTGTACTCCCGCCTGGACGCCCGTGCGCACGCCGAGCTATACGCTCACGCACACTAGGTTGGACGCCTGCCCGCGCGCCCACTTGCACACGCGCGCGCGCGCCGCTGCACACTAGCGCGCGTGTTGGTGCCCACTTGTTTGCCCTTCAATATCTTGGATGCTCCCCACTTGTGCAACCACCTTGGAGTGGTGCAACACGTGCCCATGCACGTTGGCTAAGCCCTCTAAGCAAGCCATGCCATAGCTTAACCGATGTGCTCAACAGACCCCTCCCTAGTATAGTCTTAGGGAAATCTAGCACTCTGACAGGAGTAAACATCACCCATGTTTGAGGAGTCATAATGGCCTTTCAGGCCTTTCCCGACATCCAAATTGAGTGCCGTCTACGCCAACCAGCTTCTATGGACTTAAGGTACCTCCATAAAGATCCCGAGTCAAAACTCTAAGTTTCACTTTTCACCATATTTACGAAAATGCCACTGGGCACCCCCAGTGCACACCGAGCATCCTTTTAAGCATCCCGTGTGCACGCTGAGCATCTTGTGCACGCTGATAACCCACTGAGCATCCTCATGGCTGTCTAACTAAAGCCAAAGTATTCCCAAGACATGGCATGACCTTGAAATGTCCATGTCTTCCCTTGGACAACCGTTAAGGGGCTAACATTATCCATCCGCGAGAGGATCTTTTCACACTAGAACTCCAAATTACTTCGTGCAATAAAGTTTGAACAATCTGAGCTTTCTAATATCCAGGCATGTTCTACACCCACAACCCAGTTCACAAATGACAATTAAACCCCTCCATAAAGTCAGAAGTGCACCTCATATGCATGGACTGGCGGGTACTTGAACAGAATAGCTCCATGGATGGTCTTAAGAAAATTGATGCTGCATTGTTAATGGCTTTGACATCCTCCTTTTCAAATACCTGCTTCTATTATAGGGAGAGAAAAATCATGGTAGAAAAAGCATATTCAAATTATATGCCTTTCTCGAATAAAAAATTACATCATTTGAAAGTGTCTTGCCTTTCATTTTCCTATTGGTTCATATAGTTTCTTGGCAACAATCCCAATTTGTCAAAGAGTGACATTGAGTGGCAGAACCGTTTTGGTTAGACAATGAGTTTAGAGAGCTGAGAGGATTCACTTAACCTAGGTGTCAAGCCACGCCAAATTCAACAAAGGCTTAAAATATATGCTAGAGGGCTACCGGTGGAATGATCATGTCCATCATCTTAAGTTCTGCTTTCTCGCCAAACCTTTTATAACAAGGCAATGCAAACTGTATCACGTTGTAGTGGTAATTTAGGAAGCAAATGGAAGCTGATCAAAATGTGCTCTACTTTAAGACTAATTGTAGAGGTATAGCAGTTTCCGGGTAAGAGGCCGCCACAAAAGGACGGTCATAGAGGGTCTCAAGTGTTGTTTAGACCATGTATTTGGTGTTTAGTACATATATTTAGTTGTTTTTTCTGAAGAACCAAGTCCGTTTCCTTACCATGAGATGCATTATAAGCCTTTTGGTGGCATTGCACCCTTTGCACAATATTTCTTCTTCAAGATAACACACACACACACACTATAGGGGTCTTCAAATGTCATTCCAGCATGGAGATATTTCACAACAGAACCCAAATGGCTATAACATTCTGGACATGATATGAAATGAACTAATTCCCACAAAAAAATTAAAGATTATAAACCATTGGCTCTGAAGATCTTGAGACAAAAACACAAATTTCCTAAATGTCAGAACTTCAATATAGCCTCAAAATAGTCATGCCAATAGGCAAGGCATCCAAAGTAAATACAAAATTACACATCCTGCAAACAAACAACATACAAAAAGAAAGAAAGGAATCCTGAGAACTCTGATGCCACCGTCCAGTATGACCTCAAACCTGAGTGTAGAATTCCTATGTAAGTGTGACCGCTGGCGAGTCTTGATACCCTGTGATGCCCATTATCCTTATCCGCGAATTTGGCTGTTAAGTAGATGTCACAACATCACATCATCATTATGGATAAAGAATGGAAAAACAGGTATCTGTCTATGTATTTAATACAGAATAGGGTTATTAAATTACGTAGACCATAATTGGCATATAACCTCAACTAAGCATGGTTACATGGAAGAGTCATTTAGAAAAATAGAGAGAAATTATATGCAATGTAAATAAAATATGATTAATTTATTATCAAAGGCAAAATTCTAATAATATGATCTTTTTTTCCAGGTAAATTTAATAATAAATTACCGCTAAGACAGTTTCCTAAATAACCTATTTCATGTGACATAAGTGTGCAAATTACTAAACACCCAAAGCATGGTGAAGGCCAAGGACTAGGGATGAAAAGAGAGTTAGGGAATAGTTAGAAGATAGATGCACTTGGGGAGCATTGAATGGAAGGATCAGTCGCGCTGTGGACACAACGCAAGTACTATGTGCCTAGGAATGCACAAGTGGTGCAGAGACAGATTCTGGATTCCCCATCAGCCATTTGCTGAGCCAGGTGTAGTAGAAGAAGGGAAACAAGAACAAGAGATAGTAGTAGTGAGAAAGGAGAAGAGAACGGAGAGGTGCATGAGAGTTAGAGAAAACGATGAGAAAGAGAAGATGATGCAGCTAAAAAACATTCTTTTGACATCCAACCAAATCCTTCAACAAACCACGGCAAGGCATAGACAGAAAATTAAAACCCCATAATCGTAATATCACAAACTCAAAATTGATATAACTGGGGAAAAAAAAAAGAAAACAAAAAAAAAAATCATCATTAATGTTTAAAATAAAGGAGACTTAAACAAATACTAAGAATACACTTAGCTACAGCAGTTTTTCTTTACAGAAATTATATAAGAGCTAGATAAATTAGTTGCACATATTGCTCATATGTGCAAATATAGTGACTAATGAGCTCAATAGATTTTTTATTCATGCATTTAAACCTTTTGTAATGGTTGACTAAAAGTCAGTGGTGTGGAACACATGAAGAAATTAGTTGTACCTGTCGGTGACCAATGTTTCTTCGATACTTCTTCTTCCTTTTGTACTTAAAGACGATCACTTTGTCATCCAATCCCTACAAGGAAAGGGTGCAGCCGATGAGTTGAGTGATTAAATAAAACTATACACAGTGAATGAAGAAAATACTCATGGAAGCAGTGTAACTACCTGTTCTTCAACTACAGCATGTACAGCTGCATTAGGCACCACTGGCTTTCCAATGTAGGTACTCGTTTTCGTTCCAACGAGTAAAACCTTGTTCAGAATAATCTGCAGAAAAATTAGAATGTGACTAAATTACAATATTGCAAACAATAAGATGACGAGAAGACCAAGCAAAGCCAAGGTCATCTAAAATAAAATATTACTTATTCTTGAGGAAGGTAACAGTATCCACAGGGAGCCAAACAACACCATTCCAGAACATTGATAAAGAGACATCAAAGTTTCAAACAGCAGCGTATTACTGTAAAGGAAAATGAAAGAAAACCCACAGTTTATCGTAATGTTGAATTGCGCAACAGAACTTGTCCACTTCACCGCCCCGCTGAGCGTCTTGGTGATAACTACTGGCTTGGTAGTTGCATGATGTGCACATTCTATAATACCTGTTGTCTCAATCATACCATAAACTCCAAACATCATACCATAAACTCCAAAACATGGCTAAGAGACTTGGCCGAGTCAGATTGGTCTCAGCGGCCACCAAGATGAGAACAAGTCTGAGTACAAGGTGGACATGAGTTGTCATTGACTCACCTTAACAGGATAGTGTTGATCGACTCAGCCAAGATGTTGCAGTATCCCAAAACAGCTGACTACTTGCAGTCTCTTGAGATTCAGCAGTGTATTCTCACACACATTGTGGCCTTTCCTGTCCATTTTGTTGCTGATTCTCGACAATTCTTCCTCGCACAGTCAGCACCTTCATTTACTCTTTTACCAAAACTATCGTACACGCGCACACGTACACATAACTTGAAACCAGACCTTCCTTTTGATTATGTATATTACATTGATATAGTAGAGTGTCGTTTGATTGTTTATTTGACAATTTTTATTTGTTTTCATGTTCGAGTATGTTTGTGGCCATAAAATTAGTGAAATCTAAAAATAGTAAGCTTTTATTGTTCATAGTGACTTGTATCTCTAATTAGCAAACATGTCAACATTGGAAATTTCTTTAAATAACCTGGATGGGATATCAGGTCCCCTTTTAAGGGCAGAAGGGTATGCAAAAGCGTATCCTATCTAGAAAAACGATGTCCCACAACAACATAACACACACCAATCCACACTTTTAAGAGACCCTCAGAAATCTCATCGGCAGTTCACATGTCAATGATGCAGTTAGTAAGAGTCCTCCGAGATCACCTCACCAGAACTAAGACCTAGACCCTCAGAAATCTCATCAGTGTTTCACATGCCAATGATGCAGTTAAAAAGAGTACTTCAAGAACACCTCACCAGAACTTAGACCTTCTACAGTCATATGTGAAATTCAAAAACTTCCAGGAGAATTATGCACCCACAAAGTTGTCTACACGATTAAAATGAAAACTGAATTTCAGCAGACTAATTTCTTCAAATATTTTAGTAATTTAGTTTGACTTCCCTAAGTTCAATTAAAATCCCCAAAATTTATCAATAAAAATAGAAAATCAAACTATAGAGAACCTACATATTGCAAACACATTTGAACAAAATATAACTACACCTTATTTAATTCACCAACATGGAGGTCGGGTTTAAACAGCAAAATAGAAGGCCAAATAGGATACTAGTATTAGAGCACATTTATCATTCTTATAAGAAAATGACATACAAATTAATACTACACAAAATATGAACTAGAAGAGAAAGAAAAATGCCAAATATGTACCTTATCATTGACATTTGCACCTTTGAGTCTCTGGGTGTAAATGAAGCGTCCAGGAAATACAATATATTGTCGAGACCCGATCTAAACAAAGTCCAAAACACAAGAAATTAGGTCCCTATATCAGTCATCTTGACAATTACAAATTTACTCTGAATAACATACAACACTCACAATCTGAGCACCCACAAAATTACTCTAGTAACAAAAGTAATCAAGACTAAAACCTGAGCTAGCCTCAGACCCTGTGTTACATATATGAAAATGTCAAATATCATACGGACAACCACAAAATTACTCCAAAAGCACAAATAATAGAAAAAAATTAACATCTGGGTATGACCAAATCCCCCAAAATGCACATATAAAATCAGAAAAATCATTGGGAACCAAGAAATTACAGTAACAAACGTAAATACAATGAAAAATGTCATCTGAGTGACCACAGAATCACTCTAGAAACATGTAGAACTACAAAATTACTCTGCTAACATAATATTACAATTTGGCTAACCAAAAAATCAAGATAGGGTCGCATAGAACTGAGTAACGTTAAAGAGTTATGTATCACTCACCATAACAACTGCGAAGACCTCTTCGCGCTTAGGTTCTTCATTTTTGGTTTCTACAACTTCCGAAGGTTCAGAAATCGCAGGTTCTGGTTCGGATTCGACGACGGCTATTTCAGTCTCAGAAAATTTGGGAACAATCGACAACGTGGATTTTCTTGGGAAGGAGGGGTCGAGTCTGAGGGAAGAGAGAGAGGGAATTGGAGAGAGAAAGCTGAGGTTGGGTTTAGATACAGAAAGTAATGTCGTTTGCTTGTGAGATGGTATTGTAGTGAGAGAACAGAAGGATAGGCTCATGGACGACGCCATGTTTGAGAGCTCTGTCCTCCTTCTCCACTCTCTGGATTTAATCCTATCCGTTTTCCGATCAAATGACCTATATGCCTTTGTACTTGATTATATTTACAAATATGTCCTCTCTCTCATTTTTTATCTGGGCCTGTCTGGTTCTTTTGTAAGACCATCCCAAATGGGCCCAGATCCATTCCTCTTGTAGACTTTGAAATCCAATGTAATACAGACTGGCCCTTTCGGAAAATATATGGTTGATTATTGACAAAGTGATGTTTGATGAACTGCAGATGCTTGTTTGGTTGTAGAGTTAACATATAGGACAATAGGTGCTAATTTTGGGCCAAGACTATGGGTCGAAGGGGAATTGACATATTGGGCCTTAATTTTAAGCCTAATTTGGGCCTAAATCGGGCTTAATTTTGGTATCAATCGGGCAGCTTTTAGGGCTGCAATCACAACTATTTTGGACTCACTCCATCGTCTCTCTTCTTCTTCTCGGCTAAAGAAACACCAGGTTGGTCTCTCTCCTCACGACACGCCACAATTCATCGACGACAACTAGCAGTTCACTGCCACCTCCAGGTATGTATGTGAAACTTGACCAAATCGAAACCCTAGAAATATGGATTATGCTGATTTCACAAATTAATACTTTCAGTTGATATCGATTTATGCGTATAAATAGACCTAGCTAGTGGATTCGAGCATATCATAGACACGTTTAATGTTGCAAACCCACCTTATGCAAATAACAGAGATTTATATACATATACACATTTATATTTATGTGTACACACGCAATTAAGTAGCAATTCACGCAGACCACTTCAAACTCAGCTTCATTGTGCATATTCCGCAATCATTTGTTTACTGACTTAACATTAAGTTTCCTTTGTGTTCTTCATTACTTTCTTAAATACAGTGTATGTTTTTTTTTTTTTTTTTTTGGTAAATAAAATACAGTGTATGCTTGAGACAATATTGTCATGGATTTTTGTCTCTCCATTTATTCTGACATAATATTTTATTCTAAGTTTCTGAAACTTTTCTTTCAAAATTTTGTGCAGTATATACATTACCAAACATGATTCTTGTTTACTGTTTACAAAATTCAAGAAACAAATGCACGTTTTCACATGCTGATTCTGTTTTCTAGACAGAAACGCCTAGAAATAGGAATTGAGGAACACATAAATTTAAATGTTACCAAACACAACCCCTAAGTAGTCTACTACTAAATTGGAACAGGACTGGAAGAAGTAATGGAGAATGTACTGGATAAGCCGACAAGGGTAATCAATGGGCTGAAATCTGGAAGCTAAAAGTTAAGCCAAAAGTTAAGAATTTTGGATCTTTGAAGGAGTTTGGATGACAGGATTGCAGTTTTGAATGGGAAAAATTGGTGTTTTGATAGCTTTGACGAAAAGGAAAATTCAGGTCAATGTCATTTGTCTGTGTGTGGAGTGGAATCTGAGCATGTGAGTCACTTGCTCTGTAGATAACCCAAATTTGTGCTAGTATGGAAACTGTATGTGCTTAGCTACTAGCTAGAGTCAACTGTGGAGTGGTTAATCATGGCCAGTACGATGCGTGTTCGAGAGCAAGTAAAGCTTTGGACCAACCTTGGCTGAGTGCAAGGTTTAAAATGCATTGCACCATGTCTTCCTTGGAAACTTTGGAAGGCACAGAATGATTGGATTCTTAAGGGTATTTGGAGGTTTGAGTCTGATATTGCGAGCAGGGTTTTGTCTCAATGTAGATAATCTATGCGGGTAATCAATCCTATCTAAACTTTGTAATTCTATGTTGCATTGAGTGACTTTTAAAGCTTTCACTTTGTCACCCAATTTCATGTGTTAGAGGAATCGGATTCACCACTGGTGGTGCTGATGATTTGGCTATTCATGGATTCTAAAAGTTTGCTTTTTTCTGAAGCTAAAGGTTATCTTGTATACATTCATATATGGGTGCACTTGAGTTTTAGAAGTACATTGTCATGCATTCAAAATGCAGTAATAATGATCCATGAACGGTAAAGTATTGTGCCTCTAAAGTTTCTGATGTCTTAAGATGAACTATATGTATGAGTGTGAGAGAGAGAGAGTGTGTGTGTGTATACAAAAAACATAGTGAATGAATGCCAAACTAGCAATAACAACATATCATGTCGGCCTGTCGGGTAAATTACTCCAACCTTCCTTGAGCTTTGTCCAAATTACCCAAAGATGAAACTATTAAAAAAATCACTCTGACGGGGGGTGTCAAAGTTAATGCCGTTAGTAACTTTAATTTTCACGTTCATAGCAAGAGTACCATTTTGCCCTCAATTTTAATGAAAATTTTCTTATCCCGACCAAAAAAAAATTTGTCGAATGAAAATAGAGACCCTTGAATGAATAAAAAGAAAAAAAAAAACATATATTGATGTGAAATCTCCCTCTTGCCCTCTCCTTTTTCTGCATGATTTGTCAAGATTTTTTGTTCTTTTACATGGCATGGGTTTTTCATTGGATTCACGTGTCATTACTTTTTGGTTTTTTGCATGGATTTGTCACTAGAATCTATGAATATTTCCTTAATTGATCGCGGTTGATTTGTATCCAGATTTGGTCCTGTTTTGGTCTTTGCTAAATCTAAAGTGGCCTCCAAATTTTCTTTCATGGCATATGTTGTGTATTTACTTTCATTTGTATATCCACTCATGTTGAGATGGAAACCCTTTTATGAGTTGAAGTTGGTTTATGATTTTTGTTTTCTGAGTGATTGGATTTTCTTTGCTCTTTTATATTTCTTGTACTCCATTTGCTTTAAAGATTACAGTTTACCTTTAGAAAAAATACAAAGGGAATACCAGTCTTGTTTGCATGATTCACTGAAGATTTTCTTTCATCCAAATGTTTATTTGGTGTTTTAGGAAATAGATATGGGTTTTCTTTGTTCTAGTTGTGGAAATATGGTTTCATAATTATTTTGACTTCTAATGTCGATTTGTATTGTGAATCATGGTTACAATCTTAGTCACATAATTCGTTCCTTGCACGTGGATTCGCAGTTTGAGAGCGAATCCGTCGACAAACCACAAATTCAAATTAGGCGATACACGAATTTGTTTATTCAGTTCGTGGTTTCACCACGAATTCACTTAGCACATGCTACTTCACTTTAACCTATGTTACATGTTCCATTTCTGTTTCATTCTGAGGGAATGTCCTCTGTGCGCCTGTAAATACTTTTTCTTTCTTTTATACAAACCCAATTATGAAAAAAAAAAAAAAAAAAAAACCCTATGTTACATGTGGACTGCAGGTGTATGGCACAAGTTCTGTGGGGTTCAGTTTTGGTACTAAATATCTTATACTACCAAACAAGAATTATGTATGTCTCAAAAAAATGCCCATTGTGTAAAAAAATAAAAAATAAAAAGGTCCATTAAAGTAATGGTGACCCATTAAAGTAATTGACAAACAACCCACCGCTAAGTTACATATTTACTTCTTTGTCAAAAAATTAGCTTATTATTAGTACATATCTCATTAAACAAAACAATAATAAATAAATATATTTCCATACAGACAAATAAATTACAAAAAAAATCACAAAATTATATATCATAGCATGATATAATCCTCCATAATATAAAATAGTTAAATATAAATTTAATACACATGCGCTCTCAAGACTCTCAAAATTTTTGATCTTCGACGCTCCCGCTCCCGCTCTGTGTGACTTAGGTTACAATATTTTAGATGAGTCTATTGTTGGTATTTGATATAATATTGGACCTTCAGATTACTACTACTGTGATTAGGATAATTGAAAGCAAAATAATTACCAGTTTGGTTGTGCATAATCTGTTACTTATGCACTGGTGAAAGGTACAATTTGCTACAGAATCAATTGAAAAGAGAGAGAGTAAAATAATACTCAAACTTATATTGAACAAAACGAAGTAGTAAAAATAACACTCAAAATCACATTGCTTTCATCACACCCATATCAATGTAATCAGGTCCGTATTTGCCTTTTCTTTTAATAGACTAGCTTACATTCTGTATCTAAATTATACTCAATGTAATCAGGTCTGTATTTGCCTTTTCTTTTAATAAACTAACTTACATTCTGTATCTGACGTTCTGTGATGAGACCATTGTGATTTTGAGTGCTATCTTACCCCTCTTTTTTCAATTGATTCTGTAGCAAATTGTACCTTTCACCTAGTGCTTTATTCCAACATCTGTTTTATTTTTTTATTTGGAATTCTTTAAATTCCAGTTCTATTTTTTATCATAATTTCTTGCACATTGGTTGATTTCATGTTATGTTGGCCTGTATCATGTCATATTGCTAGTGCTAAGTTGCATTTTATTTGAAGTCTACCAATAGACCTTGACCTGCATTTATTGTTATACAATGACTGAACTTTATTGCTATCGTACTAAGACTTAATAAAAACTTTTGATGTTTCTGTGATTTACAGCATTCAAGAAGGTTAAAGCTTGTATTCTTTTGAACATCACAGCAACATCTCGATTACTTCCTTGGCCTTGACATACCGGTGGTTGCCATTCTATTTTCAAAATGTCCTCCCTCAGGAATGCTGTTAGCAGACGAGCTCACAAAGAACGAGCTCAACCGTGAGTGACTGTGTTTTACTCCACGAGTGCCTTCCATTTAATTCTTTTTATTTGGAAATACATTCTGTTTAATTTTGTTAACAATCCATATCAATTGAGCCTTTTTCTTTTTGATATCAAAGGCATTCGAGGAAAAAATTTGGGATTCTTGAAAAGCACAAGGACTATGTCGAACGTGCACAGGCTTACCACAAAAAAGAGGAGGCTTTACGGGTAATTTGACAGTTTTTATTTTACGCTGCTGTTCATTATATTTTTTTTGGGTATTACATGTTGTGCCTTTATACTTGGTCTTTGATCTTAGAAATATGTTCTATTTTAATACATGCCTATGTTTTTGCCATTTGTGTCCTTTACAGAAACTCAAGGAAAAAGCATCATTCAGGAACCCAGATGAATTTTACTTCAAGATGATTAAAACAAAAACTGTTGATGGAATCCATAAATTGGAGTAACACTAACTTCATTGTCGTCTTTTCTTTTCTTTTTCCCCTTCTCCACAGACAATGAAGCCTGACTTGTTACGTTTTGTTACAGGAGTCAGGCAAATAAATATACTCAAGAAGAACTCATGTTAATGAAGACTCAAGATATAGGATATATCCTGCAGAAAGTTCAAAGTGAAAAAAAGGTAAATTTGTGTTTCAAAATGGATTTCAGTTGTGTTAAGTGTTTCAGAGTCCTCCTTTATAGGTTCCTTGTCGTTAAAATCCATTTCTTTGATGCAGAAAATTGAAAAGCTAAAAGCCATGCTTCACTCTCTTGATAATCAGCCATCAAACAGACATGTGTACTATGCTGAAGACAGGTGTGAGCTTCCTGATCTCTATTTATTTTTCATTCTCTGCTTAATTTGAATTAAACTGCAAATAGAAATTTTTGGTTGAACTGGAGATATTAGTTCTTCCTTTTTATTTTACTGATAAATGTGATTACTTTCCGGGGTTGTTTGCCGTCTTTGCGATTCTAGTATCAACTTGATAAAATTTGATTATGCGATGGACACTTTTCCTTGTATTGACTGATATTTTGATTATGAGATGGACACTTAACAAGTTAACATTAACCAAAAGAAGAAGAAAAAAAGAAAAGAATAGAAAGAAAGATGGATGCTTAGTTTTGAACTTTTGATGATAGTTATCCTCCGATATATATGTTTTCAATGAATGTGCATGTCTTTGCTCCGATGTTACATGGATTCAAGTACATATGTTGGGCGTGGCAATGTGCCTAGGTGATTCGTCATGGCTGTGTTGGCCCTGTGAAAGAACTTGGGTAATTAATACAACAATAGCCCTCTAGATCTAAAATACACAATCCTTTTCCTTACCTATCTCTCATTCCTGTATCGAGGCTACATCCTTTACCAACCAGGGGTAGGTCGGAATTATGAGAGAATGTTAGTTATGTTTTGTACAGGGGTCATTACTTGGTGAGTGATTAAAGCTCACATTGACAAGGTTGAAGATAAATGTTTGAGTTTCAGAGTAGCTACTATCTGCAAAGGGGTCATTTATCTTCTTTCTTTTTTCTTTAGAAGGTAGGTGATTGTCAGCAAATCCTGCCCGAAGAAGGAAAAAGTTATTAATTGATCAATGGAAAAGAGGTGCAATTTATTGAGGAACTTGTGGACAGGGTATGAGATTAGTAAAACACTTTTGACCTTATGTTTGGACCTCGATGAATTGTGTATGGAATCTATCCTATGTATTATGTGGTAATTCTGTATCTCTTAATAAAAGAAAGGAAGAAGAGAATCAACAATTGAGTTATGGTAGGGCTTAAGAGAAAGTATTGGTTTATCAGGCCTCTATATGTGTTACATATGGATGTTATAAATTTAATATGCTATTAGGTTAGTAGATCGCCTTTAATATTATGATGTGTTCTGACTTATCAAAAAAAAATATTATGATGTGTTCTGGATTCTTTGTACCTTATTACTATTTTCTTTTATCATCCAGGGAGGACGCTAAGGAGATACAACTACGAAATTTAGAAGAAGGTGGAAGAGTGCCTGCATTTGAGAACGTACCGAGTCATATTAAAAGGTAAAAAAATAATATGTTCAATTTATTCTAGTATATGTTCAGAACATACAAAAGAGGATATGTTCTGAATTATGTGCATGGGGTGATTGCTTGGTAAAATGGTGAAAGCTTGGGTTGTCAATTGTTAAAGAAATGGGTTTGAATCTTAAGAACAGTCACTTTGTGCCATTAATGCCAAAGGTCCAAAGGTTAGGTCTGTCTCTATTCTACCCTCCCTGCTCCCTCTATAAATGGAGGCCGGATTGTGGGACGACCTTCACAATCCATTTTGAAATTTTGTGCATGTTGAAAATCAACTGATATTAAAAAACAAAAGGAAAAAAAGTCAACTTATATTATTATTATTATTTTGGTATTTATACTTGTAGGGTTTTCTATTTCTTAAACTTGAATGAGAGAAATATTATTGGTATTATTGATTTCGATCTATCATGAATGCAACAATATATTGTAAATTCCATTAGCAAGTATAGGGTTCCTTGATAAACTAAAATACATGAATTTTGTTTGTCACTTGACTCCATCTAGGGGCGTGCTTTAGTTAAACTATGAATAGCATGCTTTGGTTGAACCATGAATATCCAATCTTTCCTTAACATCTCAATTCATATTAATTTTGGTTTTGGTCAACTCATTTATTTAGTAGCATTACCCTTACTATGAACCATGCTAGCTTATTCACTAATGCAATTATGGGTTTTTGTTGCCCATTACCAAACCATTCTTGTAAAAAAAAATTCACAGTTTATCTCCATATTTACTTCCACTGATTTGCAAAAGTGTTCATTTATGATTTATCAATTTGTTGTCTTGTTAACCCCAAGGGGATGGCCTAGTTGGAAAAGACTTGGGCCTGGTGCTTCATGAAGCATCAGGTCTCAGGATCGATTCCTGCTAGGTACAAATAATTCCTTTTTTTTGGTTTGTGGGGGTGGGGGTGGGGGGATGCATATCGGGCTTTAATGAGTTCTAATATGCAACGTCAAGCAATTCCACTTTCTCAGTCCGAGAAGTGCATCGTTGGAACTGGGTTGGATGCCAAGCGGCTCTAGATTCAGGGGCTTTGGCTATAGCCGAAAGCGGCTGGGGTTGTGAGTACCAACTAGGAACAAAAAAAAAATTGTTGTCTTGTCATGCATTTGTTGTCTACGTGGCACTTGCATGGCGTAACCTCTCGATACGGGACGTAACATTAGTTTGTCCTGGCTACTTCAATTTTATGAGTAACATCCTTTCTGATCTCTTCTCCTTGTGAGTAATCAATCCTAGGTCAGGAAACTATTTATTAGTTGGTCTTTATTCAGCTTTGACATTCACTAGTTAGCGCCTCTTTTCCTATTTTTGCTAAAGTTATATTATGTATATTTAATTGTAAACTTGTAATCATACTTATTTTAAACCTTTTTTCTAGAGTGTTTTCCCAAATCTTTAATATTTTTTCTTTATGTAATCACTTAAAATGCTGTCATTTAGCAGATAAGGATTTGAACCTTTAAAACAGGTCATGGTAGTTTTTTCAGTTTCTGCTCTGGAGAGTAGAGAAGATGACAGTGTTATGATTAAGTAGTTTGTTAACCGAGATAATTTCAGAAATTTTGCTAGAAAATTTTTGCTCTAACTTTGTTTTTTGAAGTGATCATTTTAGGTTTGTAGCCTCTACTAGGAAGAGTAACATTGATGATAATGTTGGGACTAAGTTTCTTTTTAATCAAGACAATAAAGAAATTTTATTATTAAGTTGTCACTCTTGTAGCCATGTCTCCCTTACAGGGAGTCAGGGACAAAGAAATTGTTCACTCTTAGGTCCACAGGAAATTGAGTTGGGGTAGGACGATGGCCTTTTGCTTGCTCTCCCCTTCAGGTAGAGTATAATAAATCGATCTTATATTTTTGTAACAGCTACAGTAATTTTTTTGTATTATTGAGAAAGGAATTAATTATACATAATATGGTCGGGCCAGATCATGATCATGCATGATCATGCGGGTTTTCTTTTCCCAGGTAATTCATGATCATGGGAGTGTTGATATGCTTTGCTATTAGTTATGATTTATGAAGCACATGTTTTATAGGGACTCCTTAATCCATATTGGATACGAGTACTTAGGACTTGTGAATACGTGTAGAAGATAGATGTATTTATAATAATAAAATGTCTAGGATATAGAACTAGAATATAATTGTAATACAAAATGTAAGGATTTAAATATTTCAACCATTATTTAAAGTATAATGAAGTGTTGAATTTGATCCCAGTTTCCATGTCCATGTGACCCCAGGTACCATTATTATTATTATTTATTATTATTTTTTTATTTTTCATAATTAGTACTCACACACACATGCCTATGAGGCTTAAACCCCTTACCCCCTTGGGAAGTAAGGGTCTGATACCGCTAGGCCACTGGCCCGTTGGTACCCTAAGTTCTTTTATGAGCATAATATAAGAGATAAAAAAATTGATAGATTTAACCAACAGGCCAGTGGCCTAGCGATACCAAGCCCCTACTTCTCAAAGAGAGGTCAGGGGTTTGAGCTTCAGTGGAGGCATGTGTGTGAGAGTGTATCAACTAGGGAAAAAAAAATTGACAGATTCATGGATAACAATTGTTTGTTACCATGACGACATGGGTAGGGTTGTATAGAAAATACTTGGACTACCTTGATGTAGGACTTCAAGAGCAGCCTCAAATAGTCAACAAACAAAGAATTTAGTGGCTGAAAATTCAGATAATCAGGGCTGATGTGTTAGTCGAGAGAGGATTTGAAATAACAATAGCCTATTGGAGTCAAACCAAATAAGCCTAGGCATCACACTTAAAGAAGGTCTCACGCCTCCTAATTTGTGAATCACTCCCAAGGAAATTTCAAAAGACATTTTATTATTCCTGTAGAATTACACTTATCACTTTTATAGGAATCTACTCACGCCTCTTAGACTTACATGGAGCTTAACTCATGACTTTTGGACTTACCTCATAATTGTGGTAAAATCAATAAGAGACACAACTCTTCAAATTTATCTCATCATTTAATAGCAATAAAAGTAAATAAAACCCAGCTTTCATGGCATCATAATGCCCACCAAACTCAACCCGTAAATGATGCAATTTAATCAAAATCCCCAATGGACCCACATCATCTAGCATATGCCAAATTAAGGCCTCCTTTCCATGCCTTTTATACACCTTTAATGGCTGCTGCCACTGATCTCCATCAATCCATGACTTTTGGACTGACCTCATAATTGAGGTAATATATAAGACTAACTCTTCAAATTCATCGCTCATGGCTTAATAGCATAAATAAGTGTAAATAAAACCCAGCTTTCATTGCATCATAATGCCCACCAAACTCATAAATGATGCAACATAATAAAAATCCCTAATTTTGAAGACTCCAACTTGATCCACATCACCTAGCACATGCCGAATTAAGGCCTGCTTTCCATGCCTTTTATACACCTTTAAGGGGGCTGCTGCCACTGATTTCCACCGCACCGTGAGGTATGAAGACTATAAAATATAATATAATTAGAATGCACTAGGTCTCTCCTGGAAATTATTCATATTGGAAACCGTCGTGTAGAAGTATAAATTTAGCACATCACTGCATCTTAATTGATGTGTGCTCTATGGCCCTTTTCGGTTCTGTCTTACTAGATTACAGTGTTTGTGACTCTGTAGTTAATAGAGCATTTGGGCTTAGCAGAGAAGGTACTTTGTCTGTCTTCATGGCTAGACTATTATGGCTTTGGTAGCCATTATGATTTAACAATTATATCACAGGGAAGAAATTTTTACACAGTAAAAATTAAGGAAACCTCTATTCTGATGTGCCTTCCTTTTTTTTGTTAATTTTAATTAGATGCCATTTAACAATAGAGCTTTGACAGGTAGTTTTTAAAGTTATCTGCTTGGACTTTTTGGGCCTGATGGTCACACGGTAAAATATAAAGAAGACATTGTTAACATGCATTTTGGCCCATCTACTGGATAGTTAGCCTTTTATAACTAGTGATTACTTGTGTCTCTGGCCTATGTGGGGCGTGTTGTCCTTTTTGTGCATTCAGTCCAGTGAACTGCCTAACTTAAGTTGGTTTAGACCATGACCTTTTTGTCCATTCAAGTGTCACATGTCACTATTTATGTTAGCAACCAAATTACAAGTGTTTATAGGAATTGATAGTTAAAATGGTGTCAAAGTAGGTAAGGTTTTGTGTTTGGCTCATTCAGGAAATTAGGAGTTTGGCCATGTTATGATGGTGATACTATTGACGTTAGCCAATATTTTGAGCAAAGTTTGAGGGTCATGCGAATGACATGAAACTGAAATTAGACCCTATGATAAAGGGTGCAACCCGTGCAGATTGAGGGTCAACCTAGGCTCAGCCGAAGGTAATAAAACATTCAACCCAAGCGTCCCAACCAGGCCTTCAATACAAGCTCCCCAACACATGGAAACATTTTTGACCCTAGTAATCTCAATTTGAAAATTTGGGCTGAAACAGAAAAGTTTTGGGTCAATTTTATTGTTAGCTCAGTAGTTGTTTTAAAATTAGTTAGTGTCAAGTTAATACCTCTTGGTCAACGTCAAAGTTGAAATCGTAGCTTCAAGCCTTCAACTAAGGCCAGAATCATAATCTTCAAAGCCAAGGGTACAAAGGTAATTTCACACTATGATATGCACTCACTGAATTAGGGTTTATGCATTCTTATATTAGGGTTTCATGACTACGTGTTTCGATTTTGGAAAAACCTAATTGAATTGTATAAAAGTGCTTTTGGGAACTTGCAAATCTGGAAAAAATTCCAAGTATAGTGCATAAGGCATTTTGATCAATTGATCACGGCCACTGGTTGCATGTCGATGGATCGTAGGGGGCCTACTCTCTCAATCATTGTTTTTGTTTTGTTATTTTTCATTTTAATTTCCCTTTTTGGTACATGAAGTTGACTTCAGCTTGTCAAAAGAGAGGAAAATCTTGCCGAGTATGATACTTAGTCATTCAATTTATGTGGTTTTTTTTTTGGGGGTGGGGGGGTGGGATTGATTTAAGAGACCAGTTTATCTCTACTTCTCCGCGATCTGAAGTTGTTGTGCAACTTTTTATTTAGGGCTTATGTCATAATATGTATGCTTGATGTGCAGGAAGACAGCTGCTTCCTACCGCGAGTTAGAGGCAAGAAAAAGCAGAGTAAATGAGTTGGAGAAACTATACATGGATATGGCCTTGAAAAAAGAACTACAGGTGTTAACATTATAGATTTGCCTTATTTTTCTCCCCTTGTGTTGGGTTTGTGCATCTTAAAATGATTAAATAAATGCATTTGCTGGAGCAGAAAAAGGGTCGGAAACGCAAGCTTCGTGAAGATGAGATTGTCTGTCCAACCTCCAAGCCAGTATACAAGTGGCGGACAGAACGAAAGCGATGAAGTGAGTTTCCATTTTTAACCATTGGATTTATTATTTTATCTGCTTTACTAAATTAATAGTAATTATATATTTCAGAGTATTGGGGTATTGTCAATGAGGTTGATTGAGATCTTCATACTAAAGAGCTCCATATCTATTGAAGCATCAATCTTTTGTATGATTTTGCCGCTGAAATGAGAATTCAACTTGAGGATGAACTGTTTATGATCTTTAAAGTCAGTCCTGGACATGTGCATTCATTCAAAATTTTACAATTTGGAAGGTTGCTGATACCTTTGCATTTGGGATTATGTATTGTCGGGAGTCATGTGAACATCATCAGTAAAGTGATATGTCGGTCTCTCAAGAACTGCCAAATATGATTACTTATTTATTGAACAGTTAATGAAAAGCTACGGTTTAGTATTTTGATGGAATTTATTTAAGCAAAATTTATTCACATATGGTTGGGATGAATTGATTTAGTTAATTTTGTTTCGGGCAGTAATTTTTTTTTTTTTTTTTTTTTTTTTTCTGAAATTGATAGTTATGCATGTTGTAAATATAAAAATTATGAAGGCATTACCCAATCACCTAGTTGGTATGGTGCTTAGCTCAGCTCCTGAGTGGGTAAGTCCGTGTCCACGTCCTCCCTCTCCCTAGTTTGTCAGGATTTAATTTGGCATTTCATATTAAGATTGTCCATTTTTCTTCTGACAAGAGCTCAAGTATTCACCCATTTGTCCCGAAGAGAACATGGTAATTTGTCTTTAAATTGAAGGGTAAATTACCTGACCGACACTCCTGTCTGAGTTAAGGAGGAGAAATTTTTAGGTGGTCGGAACCCTTACAAAAGGTTGACTTGTGTTGTACAATTACCAAAATATTTATTTTTAGTATAAGTGTGTAAGACTTCCTGTAATAAGCCATCAAAATTAAATAATCAATGTACCTGATCAACCCTAGCACTCTCGCTCGACCATGGAGGCCCAAGGCGCACTAAGAAGCTTGAAGTTCTTTGGAGTTTAGGTGCAAGGCGAGACATGCGTCTAAGTAAAACAAAGCGTACAATTGAAAAATAAAATTTCTATTAAAGCATATTCATACTCCATATAAAAAAGTGCTACGCTTGTTTGAGACGGAACCTCAAAACACCACTAGTATCTCCTTCAACACATCGCTGCTCCCATGGCAACTCAACAAATTAATTAATTTTCTCATCCTCTATAATTTTTATTTTTGTTGTGATTGTTAGAGTAAACGTGAAATTAGACTATTTTTAAGGCTGTATCGCCATTACAAATAATACTTGTACTCTAAAACAAAATTTATACAGTATACAATAATTATAATAATAAAACATCACTTTTCTTAAAAGCTTCCTCTTTGTCACCCAATTTCACGTGAGATGGAAGCTGATTCTCACCATAGTGGTGCTGATGGTCAGCCATTCATGGGCTCTAAAAAGTTCGCTTTTCCCAAAGCTAAAGGTTATCTTGTATTCTAATACATGCATATATGTGTGCACGTGAGTTGTACAAGTACATTAATTGTCATGCATTTATTCACAATGCAGTAACAATGATCCATTAACTGTAAAGTATTGTGACCTCTAAAGTTTCTTCTGATCTCTTAAGATGAACTGTGTGTGTGTGTGTGAGAGAGAGAGAGAGAGAGAGAGAGAGAGAGTGAGTGTGTACAAAAACACATAATGAATGAATGCCAACCTAGCAATAACAACAACATATCATGTTCATGCAATAATGTCAATACGTACAACATATATTGGTCATGAGTCATGACCACCAAATGGTTAGGGGACCATCTGTCTCTCATGACCATACTTACCCACCACCCAAAGAATCAACGGCTGTGCTCACACCATGTATAGCAAGAGAAATATATATATATATATATATATATATATATATGTTAATTAAAAAGTGAAAGAAGATTTGAGAATGAGTCTGTCTCTCTCTCTCTCTCTCACACACACACACACATATATATATACACAAACACACATATTCATGCCATCCTCCTCACATTAACAATTCAATTTCTATAGGAACCCCTCTCTCGATCATCTCTTCAATTACAAAACTCAGTCACACACACACACACACACACACACACACATAAATATATCCATTCACAAGATGAAGCTCTTTGTACTTCTCTTAGTCACCATCCTTCTCCTAGAGGTACATTGCAGCAACAATACAGCTTTCTTTTAGTTATATTTTAATAAATTGTCACTAATTTCAACAGACTCTGAGATTTATGTGCAATTGATCAGTACTTTTCCTTTTAGGGTTTTGCAGAAGCTTTAACATCTAGTAATGCAGCAGATTCTCTTACTACTGTGAGTTTTCCAATCTCTTTGAAATCTTGTACCTCTATATTTGCCAAAAATTAAGCATATCTTTCCACATTCCTATGCCAATTTTATTTATTTATTTTTTTGAATAACGAAACATCTACTCATCCATCAGTCACTTTAAACTCTATAGTCCGGTTGATTTGACAAATCACTGCATCATTTAAGTTTAGGCTTCACCTTTAGTAAGTCTCGAATAGGAGACCTCAGGAGAGTATCCTAAACAATGACGGATCTACATTGAAGGCAGTGGGGGCAATTTAAGTTTAGGCTTCACCTTTGGTAAGTCTCGAATAGGAGACCTCAGAAGAGTATCCCAAACAGTGACGGATCTACATTGAAGGCAGTGGGGGCAATTGCCCCCGCTGATTTTTTTTTCAATAATCTATTCTTATAATTTGTTCATTTTCAGTAATATACCCATGAAATATTACATTTGTCCAACCTAAAATTACTAAAAAATGCACTATTGTCCCCAAAATTCACCCCCCCCCCCCCCCCCACCCACATCATGGCTCTGTCCCTGATCCCAAACGCCTTATCAGTTGAGCTAGTGTGTGCAGACTTCGTTTGCTGATTTTCATATTTCTATTATCACATAATTCAATTAATTATTAAAATGATTATGTTCTCTTTAGTTTCTTTTATAGTATGTTCTCTCTTTGCTTCTATATTTTGTATAAAAAACCAATGGAATTTATTAAGTGGAATGTATTATTATTTGGAACAGGCAGATGAAGGAAGTGAAAGAGTAGTTCTTCACAAAAAATATCATCCGAAGAAAATCAGTAAGCAATTAAATTCGGTGCATATATATTCAATTTGTGGTTATAAACTATTAATTTGACCATTTATGTTTCTTTGATTTATATTATAAGTAAAATTTTAACCATTAATATGTTTAATTAAGCGGTGATTAATTCATATATATATATATATATATATATATAGGTTGCAGCTATGCATGCGCAAGGAGGTGCAGGAAGGCATCAAGAAAGAATGTGTGCGGCCGAGCATGCAAAACTTGTTGCACGAGATGCCACTGCGTCCCACCGGGCACCTATGGGAACAAGAATGCTTGCCCATGCTATGCTAGCCTCAAGACCCATGGACATAAGCCCAAGTGTCCTTAATTTCTTTTCTTTTTATTCATCTTCTAAAATTATATCTATCTTAATTATGCTAATTATGTAGTAAACCAATAATAATTTGCTCATCTATGTTGAGCTTCATTTAAGCTTCCAAATTCATTGTTTTTGTCACCATAGCACTAGCTTTTGATTGATGTACTACTTTAAGTATATGATGAATGTCTTATCCAATATATATATGCACTGTGGTATAATTACTGCATGATTTCTTCTTTTAAAAATAAAAAAAAAAATTAATAATAAGTTATGCACTAATTTACGGATATATTTTCTGAACAATATAAGTTATATACAGATGGGATTTAATTGTGACATAAATTTCTTACTGGTATCTAGTCCAATGGAGTTGAAGCCCGACTGTGAATAAAAAAATGTGTGGATTGGTACGGATCCAACATAGGATTAGTAGGGGTATCCGTCCCATAGATTTTTAATATTTTTATTTTATATCTCAAATTTTTTAAAATTTATGAAGATGTCCTTTCTAAAATTACAATTCGCCCCTACTGAATTCTTTTTCTTTTTTTTTTGTTCATTTTATAATTTAATTTTTTGAGAATTTATGAAGATACCCTACTAAAATTATAATTCACCCCACTGAATATATATATATATATATATATATATATATATTTTCATTTTATACTTTACATTTTTTAAAAGTTTATGAAGAAAACCTTTTTGAAATTACCAAAATGGACCCACTATATGAGTTTGCCGTCATCCTCACGAAATTTTCTAGGTCTATCACTGCATGTGGATGTGTGTTTCATCTCAAGAAAAAATAATAATAATAAAATTGAGACAAATTTAAATGAGGACATTTTGATCATTTCATTTCAAAGCAAAAAAGGAATTAATTAGTTGGTACAAGAAAATGTAAAGCCTTTAGTTATGCATAAGCTACTCGATTTGAGATTTTTTTTTTTTTTTAAAAAACAGTCTCATGAATCATGATATACAACACAAATATGTAACTCGTCTTGCAATAGCTTAAAATTGAAATTAAGAGAGAAAGATTAAATTTTTGTCATGATATCGCATCGCAAAAGTGTTACTCGTCTTACAATAGCTTAAATTTGAAATCGAGAGAATTGAATATTACAATCCAAATTGGTAAATTATAGATCTGAAAACCAATGAAAGGTATGGTTTTAATCAGTATATTATATATCCTGACTTTTATTATTGTTAAATCCAAACAATAAAAAATAATTTACCCAAAAAAAAAAAAAAAAAAAAAAAGTTAAAAAGTATGTTAATTATGGCATTGCATTGAATGGGTTGAAAATTTAGGGGCACTTTGGTTTTCCACCATGGGTAGTTAGTCCGGCATAGCAAGGACACATCTCCCTATTCATTGAGGTACCTGGTGGAACACAGTTGCACTTCTCGCAGCATGAATTGCATGACCTAATGCACATCTTTTGCGCCTTCGCCTTGCTGCACCTGAACGCACATTTGCCCTTGCAATCTATATATATATATATATATTCACAAACACAACCCTAATTAGTCATAATGAACATCTATTCATTTCAATAGCAAAAATCAAGTACTTTATGCAAACAATGTCACAAGGTGTATTTATATTTAATCCGACAATTCCTTGGTGAATCCTACCCCCATCGACTTCACGCCAGGAAGACAAATTCTCTTGCGTGAAGTTGATCGGCAAGAAAATAATTTTTTCTTTTGCTAACCCGTTTGGAATTGCTTAGAAGCGTTTTTATTTTTTAAAATTGTGTTTAGATGTGTTTGATAACCATTATAAGTGCTTGTAATGGTTATCAAATTTAATGCAGTAGAGCGTTTGAATGAAGCTAGAATTTAGAGCTTTTGAATTTGCGTTATTTTAGGTAACTATTTTTCATTAGACAATTTTGGTTTTTATTTTATTTTATTTTATTTTAATAAAATTGTTAATATCAAATATGGTAATAAAAATATAATTTAATTGTAAAAAAAATGCTTATTATAATGTGTCACTAAATACCTAACATCCTTTTTAATAACAACAATTTTTTTGACATCTCTATTGAGAAACGTCATTTATTTATTTATTCCAATAGCAAGCCCAAACGGGCTCTAAATATTCTTACAATTCAACCAAATAAGAAAAGTGAGAGGTATTAATACCATCTACATTAAAATTCCACAATCCATTCTAAGATCTCTAATATATTTCAAACCCTAACCATCCAAAATTCCCTTTGAGAGTGTTCGAAAATAAGTACATTTGGATAAAGATTAATTGTTTTCTTAGCGTAATTTTCAGTGGCTGCAAATGAATTTTTTATTATTTTTTTCTTTTTTGGTAAATACAAATGCATGACAATTTATCTTCATGTTGTACACACTTACCTATTTGTTGAGCATCAACTGACAATTGCTGTCCACTGAAGACCTCCATCTGAAATTTTCAAAATAATTTCAATTAGTAGCTTTTTTTCCATAGTAATTCAGAGAACGAGTCATGGTTATGCCCAAATTAACCCATATAGTGACCAAATGATTTTTAAACTACCGAAATTTTCATACATTTTATTTTGGTCCGGTCAGTTTGCACACTTTTTTTTTTTCTTCACGAAATTGAATCTCTCCCCTCCTTTTTGAAGATGTGAACGTTATACCATTGAGCTTTGATCTATAAAAATGATATATTAAAGGTGAAGTATCGGGTTTAAGATTTGATTAGTGAAGAAAAGGAAAACAAAATATGGGACTACTGTGATGCCTGAAAGAAACTTCTAATGAGGATTTAAACCATATGAATATATCATTTTTATCTGGAATTTATGGTACATATATATACCTATATGCTGGTGGTAGTAATAGCCAATTATAGAGCATTGAGCTCTACAAGTTTACTGAGATGTGCTGTTTCTATTTATTTTGTGTTAGGGTGCAGGGGTATTTTAGTCTGACCAAATGATCATTCCTATACTAATTTTGCACATTATGCTTGTTGAAGAAATGCTTATATGCACATTTCTATGTATATATATAAATATTCTATTTACTTTCAATTCTTTTTACTATCCTTAAAATATAAAGTTAACGAAATTTATACATGTTACGTATAATTGCTGACTTTTTGTTTAAATTTATATTTTTGTCTAAATAATACTTTGTACTATTTGGATTATTTACTTAATTATTATTATTATTTTTTAAAGCTGTGCATAACCAGATGCTCTGAACCTGCACCAATTTAGAGCCAAAGCAGGACCAAATGCGTTTGGAAATAAATTGTCTAAAAATTTAGAATAGAATTCTCATGTTGGAGGTCATTTCTAACAATATCTTCCCATGCTACAATATTATATATGTATGCAGACATATATATATATATATACATATATATATATATATATGTATATGTACGTACCTCTTGTACCAAGAGAAAGCAAAGGAGTGCCAATGCCAGTGTTGCCTTTGCTGGTGCCATTTCTCTCTCCCAAACCTTAAAAAAATTTGAGAAAGAGAAGGAGAGAGAGGGTGTCGAACTACAAAAGCTTCAATAGGCCTTTATAAAGGAAAAACTTGTGTATTCTTGTGTGGCCAGACGCCTCTCTCGCGTCAAATAACAACCTATTTAATATCATCACAATCATAATATCAATAATCCAATGTTTAGTCCGTACCATTAAAACAAATCAAAATTCAACGTTGACGATATGTCTGTGTGCATAATGGTGTGTCTTTATTTGCAGAAATTATTACCCGGTTCATGAATTGTTGAAATAATTAAATAAAGCTTAGAGAACACATCTACTTATATATCAAATAGTTATTCACCTGCAACCAAAATGTTACAAGTGAAACTTATTCCACGTCGGATTTGGATGGGGGTTAAAGTATGTATAAATGGGTGGGTATGCAACACTACCCAATAGTTCGAGCTTTTCGGTAAATGGGCAAGCGCCCACCCGTTACAGTTGGTATCAGAGCCATGCCCAATCCTTAATCTGGTGTCACGCCAAGCATCCGGGTCTGCCTCCAGGTAGGCAGGGTGGTCCGACCACAATGAGGGCGTTGCGTGGGTTCGAGTGGGGGAGAATGTTACAAGTGAAACTTGTCCCACATCGGATTTGGATGGGGGTTGAAGTGTGTATAAATGGGTGGGTATGCAACACTACCCAATAGTTTGAACTTTTCGATAAATGGGTAAGCGCCCACCCGTTACACAAGATTACCTGTCTATCAATTCAAATAAGAGGGGTGCTAAACACAGTCGCGGGGAAGATAATCAAAACTGAAAGCTTGTTTTTTTAGAGGGATGCAAGAAAAACCAGATTATACTTTTTTTTCATCTGATTTTTTTTTTTTATCTGAAAAAAATCGAATACTTCGAAACAGAGAATATCGATTTGAAAAAATCAGATTTGAATTTCAAACATTTAACTTCAAAAAAAGAAATTTTAGAAAGAGAACCAGATTATAGTACTTTTTTACCTGATTTTTTTATATATTTTTTAATCTGAAAAATCAGAGCATAACTTGAATACAGAAAAATTTTAGAGTTGAACTTCAAACATTTATGGACTTTTGTTAAAAAGAAAATTTTAGAGTTAGATGGAATGAAGAGAGAATTTCCGCAAATAATTTTTCATTGTCTTTTTAAGGATAAAAGGTTAGTATAGTAATTACACATAATGAGAGCCCAAAAGGAAGTTAGCAGAAAAATAGTAATTTATTATCAGCAAAGAAAATACACGCGTCAACAACTAAAGTTGCGACTGAGATTCCACAGTCGCGCTCGCAACTGTGTTTAGCACCCCTCATCAAATAATCGGCTGTCTTTTAAAATTCTTTTGCACTACCATGTTTGTCCTTTTCAACTCCTCTCTCTTGAAAAGGAGAACTTGCACCATTTTATGCTACATATCAACCACAAGTTATTATTTTTAGTATGTCAAGTATATAAATGTGCCGTTTGATATATTTATCAAAATATGAAGCGCCGTAATCTATTGGTACTTTTTTATTTTTCAAGAAGGTCCATAATTCAAGTCCTCGAATGAACGTGTGGGTAGGTGAGTTTCTTGCCGGGATAAATATATATATACCAAAATAAGATGCTTCATAACTTCAGCTTTCCGGGCGACTTTATTTTGGTTGGTTTAGACCAACAAGAGGATGAAGAGAGAGAACCCGATCAAGAAGATAAAGATTAATAAATAGTCTTCTAACTTTAGGATGGATTAGGTTTTGGGCCGGGCCAACCCAACCCAACCCATGTAGATCGAGCCTGGCTCAGTTCACACACTGCCAAGAAAATTGTTAATTCCTGTGGAGTCCTTTTAAATCCATTCCAATATCCAAACCCACGGACCTAATCACAGTGAAGTGGAACCCACCTTCAATTCACCGAATGGTCTTCCCCCAGCCAACTCAACTGTCTCTCTCTCTCTCTCTCTCACACACACACACACACTGTAGGCATAAGCCGCATAACTGCATAAGGCAGCCGCTCTCTCTGAGTTCGCTGGAACGACCCATTTAATCCAGGTATGAATTGTACACACAGCTTTAATTTAATGTTCTAATTCAATATGCACAGCATGAAAATAGATGTTAAAAGATTGAAACTGAGGACAATTACTTTTTTTAGAGAGAGAAAAGGACGAATGCAAGAAAACCAGATTATACTTTTTTTTCATCTGATTTTTTTTTTTTTATCTGAAAAAAATCGAATACTTCGAAACAGAGAATATCGATTTGAAAAAATCAGATTTGAATTTCAAACATTTAACTTCAAAAAAAGAAATTTTAGAAAGAGAACCAGATTATAGTACTTTTTTACCTGATTTTTTTATATATTTTTTAATCTGAAAAATCAGAGCATAACTTGAATACAGAAAAATTTTAGAGTTGAACTTCAAACATTTATGGACTTTTGTTAAAAAGAAAATTTTAGAGTGAGATGGAATAAAGAGAAAATTTCCGCAAATAATTTTTCATTGTCTTTTTAAGGATAAAAGGTTAGTATAGTAATTACACATAATGAGAGCCCAAAAGGAAGTTAGCAGAAAAATAGTAATTTATTATCAGCAAAGAAAATACACGCGTCAATAACTAAAGTTGCGACTGAGATTCCACAGTCGCGCTCGCAACTGTGTTTAGCACCCCTCATCAAATAATCGGCTGTCTTTTAAAATTCTTTTGCACTACCATGTTTGTCCTTTTCAACTCCTCTCTCTTGAAAAGGAGAACTTGCACCATTTTATGCTACATATCAACCACAAGTTATTATTTTTAGTATGTCAAGTATATAAATGTGCCGTTTGATATATTTATCAAAATATGAAGCGCCGTAATCTATTGGTATTTTTTTGTTTTTCAAGAAGGTCCATAATTCAAGTCCTCGAATGAACGTGTGGGTAGGTGAGTTTCTTGCCGGGATAAATATATATATACCAAAATAAGATGCTTCATAACTTCAGCTTTCCGGGACACTTTATTTTGGTTGGTTTAGACCAACAAGAGGATGAAGAGAGAGAACCCTATCAAGAAGATACAGATTAATAAATAGTCTTCTAACTTTAGGATGGATTAGGTTTTGGGCCGGGCCAACCCAACCCAACCCATGTAGATCGAGCCTGGCTCAGTTCACACACTGCCAAGAAAATTGTTAATTCCTGTGGAGTCCTTTTAAATCCATTCCAATATCCAAACCCACGGACCTAATCACAGTGAAGTGGAACCCACCTTCAATTCACCGAATGGTCTTCCCCCAGCCAACTCAACTGTCTCTCTCTCTCTCTCTCTCTCTCTCTCACACACACACACACACACACTGTAGGCATAAGCCGCATAACTGCATAAGGCAGCCGCTCTCTCTGAGTTCGCTGGAACGACCCATTTAATCCAGGTATGAATTGTACACACAGCTTTAATTTAATGTTCTAATTCAATATGCACAGCATGAAAATAGATGTTAAAAGATTGAAACTGAGGACAATTACTTTCGTTTGCTCGAACCGACTCAATTTTGTATGGTTGTAATTGTTTTGTTTCAATTCTCTTATCCTCGTTATTACAATTTAGATACGAGGTCGCCCAAAATCACATTTATTACCATAATTATTTTGATTGTTTGCCAAGATGTTTCATTTTGGAGTTTCTAGGTTGTTTGTGGAAATTAGAAGTAGGTAGAAAAGAAAAAGAATTAAAAAGAACATAAAGTTGAAAAAAAAAAAATAAGGTTCCAATCCTCTTGGGTGCAAACAATTCTTGGGGGGGGTGGGGGTTGTTTGATTATCAACTGGGAAAAAAAAGAAGGGAAAAAGTCTATTTGGCCAGGGATTTCCAAGAAACTTTCTTTGAGATTGTGATTCCTTACTAGGGTGTAGATGAACTTGTAGAAACTCCGGCAAAAGGAGAAGAGGCATAACTCTTGAAGTCATTGTTATTCTTGAGCTTGTTACTTGAGCATCGGTGCCACCGACGCCAGTTCGTGTCTCAGGGCAACCACTTTGTGAAAATATCAAAAGTCGGGTCTGTCTCGAGTCCTCCCACCTCAGGACCATGCCACGACAGGACAAAAACTGAGTAATGCCCTTTTAGTTGTCTTAGAATCATGTACTCAACATGTCAACCTTCAAACAAGAAAGGAATAAGAGGATAGCAAAAGAATGAAGACAGATTAATAGCTTAAAGTCACCGGTACTAATAATAGATATTACATTATTATTACTACAAGTCTCAAATGGGACATGGGACTTTTCATCTATGGGCATTAGTAGTAAGATGCACAAGCCAAACAGCCTTTGGTGTCTAGATTCTAAGTTTTAGTGGACGAACATGAACTCAAATAAGAGAAATGAACCTTCTACTACCGTTGAAAAACCATTGATATGGATTCTCACAATATTATGTTAATAGAACGCAAGAATGTGAAGAAGTATTGAATGGCCAACAATGAAAATCGAACTCTATTCATGGGCATAGAGCATTGTCAGAAATGCACAAGATGGAAAACAACTTTTCTGTATTATATGAGTTCTTTTGATTTACGAAGAGTTGCGTCCTCTGGTTTTGGAGGAGTTGTGTTTTAACTGTGTCTGAGAAAAGTGCTGGTTCATTCATAATTGGAACTTTATGTTTCTTTGGAGGAAAAATAAAAGAAAATAAAAAGAATTGAAAGAAAAGAGGAGAGACCTGGATGGGAATGTTTTTTGTGAGAATAGCTGATGCAATAATCCAGGAGTGGATAATTGCGGACAAAAAAGAAAAAAACTAGTATCTATCTGCACTTTACAGTTTTACTCACTTCAAGCAAGAGAATAAGCATAAGGAAAATTGGATGTTATGAATTTTTAAAATTTTGAATCACAAAAAAACCTTGAAAACCAACATTCTGAACTTGATCTGTAATGCAGTCCTCTACTAGCAATGGTGAAGGTGTTGCGCAAAACTGACGCCTTACTAAGTATGTGCATTGACAAGTAGTGTGTATATGGTTATGCCCCCTTGGCATCTCTACTGATTTGTTTTAACAATAAAAAAATGAAGGGTTATTTTTCTGTAATTGAATGTTATAGTGACACAATTTATATCTCTAATTAAAAAAATGCTAAGCCGCTATGGTCATTGCTGGATATGTTTCACTTGTGGTAAAACAGTTGTTTCGTTAGGAAGCTGTGCAAACTTGTAAATGGTTTTTTCATTGGAAATCTATGAACTTGTATCTCTGGGATATCCGTGGGAGCTGAGTTGTTGGCCCTTAGTAACATAGGGAACAAACAGAATGGCTTAGATTCTTGTTAGTAGGCATTCATTGATGAGTTCTTAAAGAGAATTCATAGGCTCTGGCCTATGAATTGAGCTATTGCTACAGCTTAGTACTAACAACCATTCATCTGACTGCACAAAATAATTCTTGAATGATGATGTACAAAGTTCAAACATTCATACACGCAGTAAGTTTGCCAAGTTCTGATCAGGTTAGTGTGCTGCAGCCTTCAACTCTGAAGTAGTTTGCACCTAGGTAGTGGAACGTCAAGACTCATGAGTAGTTTGCACCTAAGTAGTAAGTAGCAATGTTATTCTACTTGAAAGTTAGTGCATTCATTGGGCTTTACTTCTAAGCTTAATCTGATGATTATTCTTTCATTTTGTTGTTATTTTCCTTTGGTTACATAGGACAAATTTATTTTTCAACAGTCTAGTTTTGTCTGTCAGCCTTTATCATCTATCCTTCTTAATTTCCTTTTATATTTCTATTCTTTTCCTTTACAGTGCAGTGCAGGGATGCTGGGAAAATCATTGGCTTCTCCCATGCTGACCTGCGATTCTGTGACACGCTTCTGTTTTTCCGTAAGTACGACTTTCTTAACTCAATTTTGTAAGGGGCTGTATGGACTTTGGATAATACTATTAGTAGTATATGAAAGTGAAGGACAAACTCTTGAATTTTTTTCTTCAGAAAATGATATATTTGTTGTGTTGTGTACATGGACATGACACAACTAATTTAAATATCATCGTGTTTTACTCACTTAGAATGCTAGAAGCAGGATAGAATTGTTTCAAGCTCAACGCCAAATCCTATGAACTGATGTGATTGATGCGGTGTTCCAATACTTGCAACTCTCTTGAAATTCATTTGTATTTTTGCTGCAAATTCAATTGAATTTTGACAGAACAATACCATTTTAACATGTATTGCAGGTATGGCATAAAAACGGAAGTGGTGGGTAGGGGTGTGATTAGGAGGGAAGAAGGGAAAACTAACTGAACTGGTTTCATTGTTGTGGTGATCCACTCTTTTCATTTGTTCTTCAGCCATCAAATTTATTGGTGAGAAATGCCACACCCTACAAAAGCATGCAGACAAAAGAGTAACTGTAACTGTTTAGTAACGCTTTGCAGAAGCAAAGAATAACTTACATTATATTAAACATATTGCAGAAACTTACTGGTGTGATTATCCCCGCTTTGCAATTGTTGTTCAACCATCACGTTTAGCGGTGTGAAATTGCAAAACTAATTGAACTGATAATATTAAACACTTTGCACAACTAATTGAACTGTTTCCGTTGGTATTTAGTGTTGAGATATTGCGAAACCCCACGAGAGCATACAAATAATTAGGAGTTTGAAGTAGAGTGAAGAAAGTAAACAAACCAAATTATTATTTTTTTTTGATAAGTGAACAAACCAAATTATTGAGTCGTATAAAAAGGAAAAGGCTACTGTAGGTTGCCTATGCTGATATCGGTAGTTTTTTATTTTATTTTTGATAAGTAGGCTGATATCAGATATATTAAAACTACAGAAAGTATAGTGCTACACAGGTAAGGGGTTACAGGAACATTAAACCTATAAAAAACTAAAAAAGGTATAGTTTTCCAAAGCCAAGGTGTACTTGGATATGTTCGTTTTTGCCAATTTATTGAGCATGTATGTCAATGCTTAGTTTGGAAGGTGACTTTAGTTATAAGTTTATAACAAATTATGGCACATCACTCAAGAACAAGTTCCAAAACAATCTTAAGGCGAAGTGGTTTTGGTTTTTATCAGGAAGCAATTTAACTGGGAGCTCCTATTCTCACTGTGCCCATAGTTACTGTCACTACCTAAGTTCCAGCTCTGATGTTAGTTCTGTAAATTTGGAAAACTTTAGCATTTCCAAACAGTATCCAAGCCAGATCCCATCTGATTTTAGGTGTTGGTGGAAAAAAATTACATAATCATGTGAATCATAATGTTGATAATTACCAAAACATGGAAACAAAAGATCAATAATTAATAAAATTCTAATTTATTTTTCATTTTGAGGCCATTTCTTTGTGAAAAGAGAGAGGGAGAGTACATGATCACTGTCTCTTTCTCTGGTACGGGGTGAGTGGGTTATTTCAAACTTCAAAGGCAAGGCTTCAACATTAGGGCATATTTTCACTCTTTAGAACTCATATGTTCCATGTGACATTCAATGAAAATGTTTTCAACATAGCATATCAGTGTTTTTTGGAGGGAAATATGTTTAATTTATGTATTTCATTTTCATGAACATGACAACCTTTCATTATTTTTAGGTGAAGAATTACCCTAGAATGTTTGAAAATCCATGGAAATTATATTCATTTATTTTGTTTTATGTGGCATTAAGATCCACAAAATTTTAGTGTGGTAAAGGGACATTACCAGTATCATTAAATAAAATAGAGCGGAGTTCTTTGTTCATTCTTAGAAGACCTCTTTTTGCAAAGAACTCATTTCTAATTTAGATGTGGAAGTCAATGGACTGAATCCATTGCCATGGGACCTCCAAAAATTCCCATTAATTTGTGGAGTTGAGTTTTTATATTCTTTTGTGGTGAAACATAAGAGGCATTCTATGATGCATGGGCAATTCTAATGAATTAAAGATTGCTGCTGTATGCAGCAGATTCCGGCTCTTTGTGGGTCCTAAATTTTAGTATGAACTTGTAGTTGTTAATTCTTTTCTTTCTTTTTTTTTTTTCGGAAGGTAACTTGTAGTCTTGTAGATGTTCTTTCCATTAACTGCAGGCAGCGGGTCATAGGTAAGATCTCACGCAACGCATGAACAGTGAATCATGGCTCTACTTTATGAACAGCTAATCGAGTTTTAGCTTTATTTTAACATATTTTACTTACATTCTTGTCAATATTGTTACTCAAATAAACTGCCGTACCTGCAGTTCTTAATTAGTTTTCTCCTGAAAATGGCGACTAAGAAACCGCATACCCAAGTTTGATTCCAGGTTTCCAACTTCCCTGTCTATACCAATGAAAAAGGCTGCAGTTGCATGACCTTTATGTTCAATTTGATTTCCAAAATTGGGAGATCAAGCATGCTCAAACAGGCTCAAAACCAACTTCTACCTGGTTTTACTAAAGGCAAATGTGTGAAATCACCAAATATAGAATTCCTATAAGGCTTTAAATTTCACTTTTTTTTTTCAACACTGAGCTTTGTCTCCATGTGAAGGAGATCTGAGAAAAGGTTTTAAATTTTTACTTGAGTCGTGTAAATAATGTCAACGGCTAGGTCTCAATATAGTCTTCCACCCCAACATCCCATATAGGTGGGACATACTAGGCAATGCACTAGCATCGTTTACCAGGAATGCAACGATAGAGCTTTTAGACTAGCATATCAATAGTGTTTGAAAAAGAATTTGGAATGAGGACAGTCTAGATGATGTTAAAAATGTTTTTGATCAGCGATTAAACTGTTTACATAAAGTACAGTTATTTCATATTTGTGTTTGGATAGTTAGAGAAGCGTTGGGGTAAAACTTATTTTTGGTAGATGTCCATGATATTTTCACATTTGGGGGGCATATTTGCATATTGCCAGGGAAACTTTCCTACAAAAAATTTCTTCCTGTGTATGACTCAATTTCGTATGCTTCAAAAATACAACTGATGCCTAGATTGTGAGCTTGTTACATTTAATTTATAACACGAAACAGAAGGGATATTTCCTTTATGTTTGGTTTTCTTTTTTCTGATTAAAAATCTGAAGCTTACTTTACAATCTTCTGTTGCAGCCTGATCTTGCACCAGTTGCTCCAAATATTGCGCTTATAAATGTTAACTTTTCAAATGGTGTTCCATCAAATGTGACCAGAGGAGCTTGGACCTCCATGTTAGCACCTAAGAAATGGGAGTTGCGTTCAACTGCACAAACAAATAATATAGCCTTAAGCGACGAAGAGAGGAAGACGTGGGAAGCATGCAGACAAGCTTTATCCGCATTTAAGTTCAGCATGGAGGAGGAAGATAAAATACTAGGAAAAGCATTTGGGCAGATCCATTCGCCTTACTGGGGAGAAGAGCGGAAGAAAGAGGTGCCAAAATTTGAAACTGTAAATGAAATATTGGATTATTTAAGGGGTCTAAACCTTTCCGACGATGATCTGTGCAAGCTGCTAAAAAAATTCCCTGAAGTTCTTGGATGTAGTTTTGAAGATGAGTTGAGGACCAATGTGCAGGTTTTAGAAAAGGATTGGGGAATAACAGGGAAATCTCTACGAAACCTTCTTCTTCGCAATCCAAAAGTGCTGGGGTATAATGTCGATTGTAAAGGAGATTGTATGGCACAATGCACTCGCTGCTGGGTTCGATTTTAGCTGTATTAATTTTAAATTATTATTATTATTTTTTTCTGATACAAAGGGAGCAATATACTGTTAATTAGAACTTTTTTTGTAATTGAATCATTAATAAAACAAAATAATATCATTTGTATGTGACTGAAGTTCTGTGTTTCAGTTTGCCTGTTCTAAGGATTACTTCTCATTGGTGTAAAAATGAGTGAATTTGCATTTTTAAGACATTCTGTGTTTTGACAAAATAGTATTGTGTGTTTTTGCAGCAGTTCCTTGATCATTTAAGCTAGCTGAAAATGATGTTTAGGTTTATATCAATCACAACTTGGATTTTACTTGATTTGTGTTAAACAACTTAGCATCAAAACCAAAGCATCTGTGGTGAAAAGCTTGCACCATAGGCTCATGCTAAATTGTATAATAACTTAGTTCATTACAGTTAGTGTTCATATTTGATTTTTTTATTCATCTATATTACACTTTCATCATTGTATAATACGGTTAATGCAATCTACATTTATAGTTTTGATATGCTTTGCTGCCTATGATGTAAGTTTTTGCACTAACAAAGAAGGTGGGGTTTTGGTAGGTATCTTATAATGATGTGTAACCCACTAGTTGAGCTGTGAGCCTAAAATAAGATAATGATATTCCAAATTGACAAATGTCAAAGCTGCAAGGTAAAATATGGTACAAGAAAAAATCGGATTCGAAAATTTAATAATTTGATAATTTTACAATTTATTTATTTTTTAGAAATACGTTATAAAAGTTCGGCTAAAAAAATAAAAACGTAAAAATTCAAATACAAAGACGTTGTATGCATTACTCATTATTTGGTTATATTCGATTCACAGATATTTGTAACACAAATATATTATTATAATACAATAATAAAATTGACTTTTTACATTAAAGTTTTACTAGGGGAGGTCATTATAATAAACCTCAAATACTCCACCAATATGAGAGTTGTCCAAATTAAAAGGAAGGTTGGTGTATTTTGACAAATATCACAACTATAAAAATTTTAAAATGACATGTGCTAAGGTGCAATTCGGTAGTGGGGTGGGTTGGAGATGAACTTAAGCCCAACCCGATATATAAATATTGAACTTTAACCTAATCTTAAGACGGTTTTTAACTCTTACTATTAAAGTTGAGTCCAATCCATCTTTTAAATTTTAAATTTGAATTGAGATTTCAAATTAGGAATTCAGGTTACCCATATGGGCAATCTTTCGAGTTAAAATTTTATGAGATATCATGTTTCATATTATAACTCCTTGAGCAAAGAAAATTTAAAAACATGCAAATATATATATTTTTTAAATACCAACAAATTCTTAAGAAATCAATTCTCTAAAGTATTAACATGCTATAAATTAAAATTTAAACAAAAAATAAAAAAAAGGGTAATCATAATTTAAATATTATATATAATATATTTAAAATAAAAATATATAAATAATATTAAAGTTTAAGTTGCTAGCACCTCAAATCAAGTCAAAATTTGAATTGAAAGTTTAAAACAAATTAACTTTTTTATACGCATTATTTGATGCATTTTGTTGTGTATTAAAATAACATTATAGTGAATGTGACACTAAAACGTAATACAAGGGTTCATTTAGGGGGAAATATTCGTTACTTTTGTTAAATGAGATGTTAAAATTAGAAGCTCCTAAATCCGTACGATATAAATTTAAAATCTGTAGAAATCAGATTATAGATCTCTAGCATTATTTTGTGCATGAATTAGATTCAATCTTATCATATGATTTTGACTCTAAACCCATATAAATGTTTGGTTTTGACTGTAAACCCAGATAAATGTTTGACCAAATTAAAGAAAATGACAAAATGGAGGTGGTAGCTTACTGTAGACAAAGAGGACAAAGCAAAGCCAGTTGTGTACGCGCGTAAGCATTAAAAGCAAAACCAGCTTTCTGTTATATGATTTTTAAATAAATAATAAAAAAAAACTGTTCAGTGTTTGTATCTTTCTCTGTTTCCCGATCTGCAGAACTAACTCAGAAAGTGCTCTGTTCCCCTTCTTTCTCTGTCACACACTCTCTCTCTCCTATCTTTCTCTCTCTAAAACTCATTCCCTTCAACATAAATTCAAATAGCTTATCTTCATCCATCACTTTTCTGTTCCTCTCTTTCTTGAAGGGGCATTTATTAAACCATTGGTTTCTTCTCTTTCTTCTCAAGATCCGCGCTTAATTTCACTGCTTTCTATCTCTACATATACATTTATACATATACTTACACCACATATATATATATATATATATATGTGGCTTACTATGGAAGATGGACAAACGAGGACCGGGACTGATGAGATTGTGTTCAGATGGGCATAATGGGATGGAAATTAAGGGTTTTGTGGTGACTTTGTCCGCCGAAGAGGAGGAAGAAGTGGATTTCTTAGGGTTTTTCTGCTATAATGGCAACTGCAGATGAGTATTCAAGCTGGTCACACTCGTACAAGGGCATGTCCTCCGACAACATAAAGGGATTAGTCTTGGCTTTGTCTTCTAGTTTTTTCATTGGGGCTAGCTTCATTATTAAAAAGAAGGGTTTGATGAAGGCTGGTGCTTCTGGAGTTAGGGCAGGTAATACTATTTTCATTGCTTAAATTGTTTGATTTTTTTGGAAGTTAAATGTTGTTTTGTATTTGGAGTGAATAGGATTGATAGACATTGAGCCATTTTTTCGTACTATTGCATGAAGTTTGTTAGTCAAAGCATTTCTGGTAGGACTGTTTTGATATGTTTATGCCCTTCTATTGGCTTCAGAATCTATAGAATTCATTGGATGTCGTATTTGGATGTGTCTGATTTCAGAGGATTTTGCGTAATAATTAATTTTTATGACCTAAAAATGCATCTCATGCTGATCTCGCTATGCATTGCGAGAATTTGGGCAGAATATGCAAATCGAATAGTTGGATTTTCGAGTTTTGTGTCTATATTTGTTTCAAAAAAGAATTGATTGGATCAAGACTGTCTGTTATTTTTAGTCATATTTTTGAAGCTTTATATATATATATATCTATATATATACACACACATATATATGTATATGTTAAAGCAGTGCAAGAACTAGGCAGGTATATTACCAATGTATCCTACGATGTTGTATGCTTGGTTGTTTTGTGTTTTCATTTGTTGTCACAATTTAAATGATTGGAGTGAGTACTGTGAATTTGTCAAACTACAGTAAATCAATCTATTAGTGGTTTGAAAAGTATCTTATGTTTGGGGTACATAAATGAAACTTTTCTAAGAAGTATTTAAACTTGACTGTTTTTCATTTGCCTTTTGTTTTCTCCAGTAAATTTAATTGAAATAGATAGGTTTCATCCGGATGTTTTGCGATTTATGGGATTTAAGGGTAGTTAATTTGCTGTAGTGATTCAGTGCAGCATTGTATATGTTTTGGAGCTGAAAGCTTGATTATATTCTCTTCCCAGAAGACATTTATCAAGAGATAGTTCAGGCATGCCCTCTCTCAAAAGCATGGAAAGCTTCTCTTAGTGGTGCTTTCACTTATAAATATTTTCATGGAATTTATCAGTCAAAACTCCTATGAAGTTTGACTATTAGGGAAATAATCTGATAGATCACTCTAAAATTTTTAATTGTAATGTAGAAAATTTTTAGGGACGGTTTTAGTCAAGTTTATTTGGATCTGGATTCTAAGCAGGATTGATGGGAGTTCATAGGATTGGGATCGTAGAATTAGATCAAGGATCGTAAGATTCTATAAAACTAGTAGAAAAATAATTCAAATTAACTTTATAAATAAAAATATCTTTGAAATAAATAGAGAATACGGCTAAACACCAATATCACCAACATTCTTGCAGAAATCAATTAATATAAAACATTAAGCGAGTAAGACACATGGCAAACACTTGAAACCAATTTTTTGATTTCTGCTATCCTAAAACATTAGAATAACAACCAAACAGAATCTCATAGAAGCAGTTAAAGTAAAGCCTAAACAAAGAGAAAAAAATGAACTGTGAAACGGAGAGAGACAAGACCAATTTAGTTGCCTAATTATCCTAGCAACATAATTGGAAAGATTATTATTTTTTGCTTTCGAAAAATAACGAAATAGAGAGAAAGAACAGAGGGTAAAAAGACATCGGTTCTTTCTTGTTTTGGTTCAAAATGGGCAAAGAATATGCGGGAAAACAGAGCTCTCTCTGTTTTTTATTCTGAAAATGAAAGAAAAGGAAGATAAATCAATAATAAAATGGCAAAATGGAGGAAATTTTTGAGTTTTGAGCCATATCTTTGAAGTTTAGAGCTGGATTGTGTCTATCTTTGGCTTTCGGTCTTTGCCTTTTGTCTCTCTTTTTTTTTTTTTTTGGTAGGAAAAAAGGCAATTTGGCTAAAGAGTAGGTATATTTAAAAGGCTTAAATTTCTTTGTGCAAAATGGACTGTAGGCCCAAATAAATTCAAAAGAAGAACAAAACAACACGATTTAGTAGGATCAGTAGCGTCAAATGATCCTATGTGATTCTACCGCAATCTTGTTTCCAATCATTTTTTCATGCAATCCGGATCAATTTTGCTAAGTGAGATTCTAAGATCCAGATCAGGATTTTGACAACCATGGTTCTAGGGATGTTAATGTTGAGCAGAAAAATTTTCATTTTTCTTTTTTTCAATGAGAATTTTGCAAAGAAAGTCCATGGTTTGTTTTTTAATTTTTTTTTTTTCAGTTTTTTATTAGTTGTGGAAGTAAATTAATTTGATTTAGCGTGCCATATCGAACCATAATTTGGGTGGGCTTGGTGAGATTTGTTTTGGTAATATGTCATGTTTAGAATGTTGGAAGATATTGTGCTATAGCAATATGAAAAGTGAATCCAGCCTGTTCATTGTTTATCTGCAAAGTAGCTGCACATTGTTAAGACTTGGTTACTCAAAATTCATCAAGTTTGTGCTAGTTTTGTGTGGGAAAGTGACAAATCTCTGGTGCTTTCTGTTAAATCACGTATTAATGGACACTCCAGAGGGTTCTGGGTTAAAGTGGAGGTGTTGTGTGTGATGCTAATGAAAATTTTCTGGGTGTTAAAATCCTGTTGGTATGTGTATAACTTAAAATGCATAAATCTTGACTTTGCTTGATAGAGTGGATCTGGGCTATGCAAGTCCGAAGGTGGTGTTGTGAAATCCAATACTGGGGCCTTAGTGGATTAACGTTGTCCAACTTTAGGGGGTGACTCGATGTTGTGTGTGATTCTCAGATGAGCATCATGTTTCAAAGGATGGTAACCTTTCATGTCACGTTAGAGTTTTTTTGGTTTAATATAATCTCTGTTCTTAGAATAAAATGTATGAGGGCTTTAATATAGTTGACTATATTCTATTTTCTTAGTTGGTACTCACACACACATGCCTTCACTGAGACTCGAAACCCTGACCCCATTTGGGAAGTAGGGGCCTTGTACCGCTAGGCCACTGGCCTGTTGGTATATATAGTTGACTATATTCTCATGTATATTTCATTAGCGAGTTATGTGGAAAATACATGAAATTGTGTTTCACGGGAAGAATAGTGTAATTCTGACATGAGTTCCATTATCATGATAATGATGCTGGGTTGAGTTTGCATTTTAGTAATTGGGTAATATTTTTGTGGTCTTGTATTGGAGTCAGCTTGGTTTGGCAGTTTAGAAGGGAATTAGCTTGCATTGCTTTCACGTTTTATCATTCTTTTCAAGATGGTTTTATGTGTCATCTCTAATACCTCCAATTAAGAATGTAATAAGTAATTATCACCCAGCAGAGGTAATTGATGAGTTGTGCAGAGGGATTATGTCTCTTGAGTCTCAGAATTCATTCTAGGGAGCTGTTATATCTAGAGGACCAAGTTGTTCGACAGACAATGTCCACCCATCATGATTTTCAAAATTATTTCCTTTTACTTGCTTTAGAAGATGTATTGATTGTGTGATGCCTTACCTTGTTACCTGGTAAGTTTATTAATTATAGGAGATTGATAATTTGGTTACTTAAATGTTTAAGTCTGTTAATCAGCTACCAAAAGACATGTCTGTTTTAGGTGGAAGGATTTCCACTGCATCAAAATATTAAGGATGTAAAAGATCTTCACCAGTGAACTATAGATTTTTTTCTCCAATCACTAATGTGTCCACACACATGTTTACCCCCCAGAACTTATCCAATTGTTTTTCCACAACACTTGTTTATGCTATCCTTGCACTTCTTGCTGCTGTAATGGCCAAATATTCTGTGTGTTCTGCACGCCCCGAGATATTACATGCTTTAACATGTATTTCTGTTTGTATTGTCTCCCAGAAATTGTTCGATCTGCCACCATGAAGTTGCATGAACTTCTCTTTGATTAAATTTTCTGATAATTTGTCACAGGTGCTGGAGGGTTTTCTTACTTGTATGAGCCACTTTGGTGGACTGGCATGATAGCAAGTGAGTTTGCCTTTTTCTTTCTCTCAGTTACAAAGAAATAGTTGGCTATATTGCCAGGCATTATATGACATGAGTGTGCAAATCAATCAACTTAGTGATTTTCTTTGGAGTATTTTGAGCATCTTTGGAAACATTTGGGCACAAAAGAAGTCACATATGGAGTAATTGTCTTCTTTACCTATGCTTAGCCATTTAATTCTATAATTCACTTGCATAGTCTTTTCTTTTGTGTCGTATGGGACGTATTGATGCACCATAGACTATATAAGCAAAGTATGAAAAAGCAAAAGCACAGGACTGCACATTTTACTCCTGAGAAGGTAGGCATAAACCTCGCGACACAGAGGCATAAGCTTTTTAAGTTCTGTTTTTTAATTTTTAAAAACATATTTGTAAGGTTAAAGACTGAAAGAATAAAAAGTAATGCTCCAAAACTGAAACCCAAGGGTAAAAGTTGAATTGGAGGGAAAATTTTGACCAAGAAGCAGGTACTAGCACACCAAAATATGTTATGGTAATAGGGAAAACTTCTGAAAAATGCATTTTGGGCTCTCAAATTACAATTATATGAAAACTCAAATTTTGTATTTGCACAAAAAATGCCAAGTTAGGTAAAGTTTTGGTTCCTTAAATATTTTTCAAAACTATAACCTTCATTTTTTTACAAAGAATAATTATCCAATCACTGTAATAATATGATTAATTGCAGCTGTCTAAATTACTTGGTCAACTCGTCCTCAATAGTCAATAGGCCTGCTTGGGCATGGTGCAACTCCACCTTGTGTTAGTGAAAGTTAGGTGGGAAGGGGAATCTATATGGAGGACAGGAGGAATTTTCTTTTCGAACCTACATTGGACAAGTTATCAAGGGGAGTACTCATCTGTTGTGTAAGTAAGCCCACATTGGTAATGAAGAAACTTTTGGTTATATGAGGCTCTTGATGAAAGTTTCCAGTAAGTTGGAGATTTGGTGGTCGTGGGATCAGAGTAGGTGATATATTATTTTGTAAAAGGCTCGGTCCTCAGGTTGGTTTGATTTAACTAAACCATCAATCATAAACTGAACCGACTTTTGTGGTTCTCAAAAAGTGAGTCCCGTGCCAAACGAGACCATATGGATCAGGGTTGGTTCAAATCTCAGAATGGATGGCCAGTTTTCTGAACCCCTTGGAGTGTTTGATAAACTGCATTTGCAGTTATCTTTAGAAAGTCCTTTAGCTGAGAGGCTTAACAGACAGAAAATGGTGGATACTTCCACTAGTTGGATAGAAGGTGATGATCAATGAATGTTATTGCCCTGGCTTCAATGACCAATCCGTGGTGCATTTAGGTTTTGATATTCGGCCATCCTGGTCTTAGGACCCAACACAATATTTTTCTTAGATATTTCCTTTAAAATATGCAAAAGGTGTTGATACATCCTATCCACGTAGAAAGCTTCACAAGGATCGTGCTAACAAAAGGTCATTAGAGGTTTGAATGGCAGCTCCTCTGTCTCACGTGTGGAGCATTTGGAGGGAGCAAACAGAAGAAACTTTGAGGATATAGTTCGTATCGAGTGAATACTGTATTTAACACTTCTCATTTTTGAGTTACAGGGTAGGATATTTGAATTTATTGGAAGGAGCCTAGTTGTAAGTTTCGTATCCCTTATGTGTATATGGGTTAGTTATTTGAATACAACATCAGTTATAAGAGAAAAATAATATAATTGATAGAAAAAATAACTTACTTGAAATGGAATTATTCTATAGTTAGCCAAACATCTCCCCTTTTTTGGGTAAATAGATTAAGCTTTTTCATCTGAATATTTCTTTTAAAGATAGTTAGCATATTTGAATATTTTTATTCAGTATTAATTGTAGATTAAGGTTTTTCATCTGAATATTTCTTTTAAAGATAGTTAACATATTTGAATATTTTTATTCAGTATTAATTGGCAGTCCAAAACTGTGATACTCGTAATAAATTACAATCGTCCTCTTGTTTATCACATGTTGCAGTTGTTGTGCATTTAGTGTAATTTAAAGGTATTTTGAAATTTTTGTTCTAGTCTTTGTGGTTAAGTGGTTCTTCCCTTCCTTTGTCTGTATTGGTGAAAGTTCTTTAAAATTTTAAATGTATGGTTCTTTGAACATTTTTTATAGGCTGCTTTGTATTTTTTTCTAGCTTTATACATACAGGTAGCTTTTATCTTTCTGGTAGTGGTTCTTGTTCCCTCCCTTAATCCTCTCCCCTTATACTGGAGAATAGTTTTCTAGATGAAAGATTCTTTGAAGATTTTTCATTCTCTCGTTTTTATTCTTCCTGGTTTTATACATGCATACTTTTTCTATATTTTTGGTTATATATATATATATATATATATATAGTTTTCTTTCACATTGTGAAATCTGAATTTGTAGTCTATGAATTTTTTATTAGAAATTTATGTTGAAAGATCTAATTTGGTTGTTTGCCTATTGTGACAGTGGTTGTTGGGGAAATTGCTAATTTTGCTGCTTATGCATTTGCACCTGCGATTTTAGTCACTCCTCTTGGTGCACTCAGTGTCATAATCAGGCAAGAGGGAAAGCCACACGTGATATTTACGTTTTTTATTCTCTCTATTCTGAATGCTTACTTTTGGATTTTCTTGCAGTGCTGCACTTGCACATATTATTTTACGGGAGAGGCTACACATTTTTGGAATTCTTGGTTGTATTTTATGCATTGTGGGTTCAGTAACAATTGTTCTACATGCTCCTCAAGAACGCGAAATTGAGTCTGTTAAGGAAGTTTGGGATCTTGCCACAGACCCAGGTATAATTTATTTATATGTGGAAAATTTAGTGCTAATGGTGAAATTCTCACTATCTGTAAGATTCATATTCTCAATGTAAACAGTTTGTGCCAAAAAAATTCATCTGTCTTCTGAACATATATTATTATTAATATTTTGTGTGTGTGTGTCAGCCTTTCTTGTGTATGCAGGTTTGGTGATAACAACAGCTCTTGTAATCATTTTCCGTTTTATCCCAGAGTATGGGCAGACACATATAATTGCTTACATTGGTGCTTGTTCACTTGTAGGCTCACTTTCGGTAGGTAGTTTTGTGTTCCATTATTTTTGTGGTAGGTTGTCTTATTTCTGTATAAGTAACATTTTTTTTGCTTTTGCAATTCTTACTAATGGCGTAATATATTCTGACAGGTTATGAGTGTCAGAGCACTTGGTATTGCATTGAAGTTAACATTTTCAGGAATTAATCAGTTATTGTATCCCCAAACATGGGTCTTTGCCGTTGTTGTGGTTACATGTGTGCTTACCCAAATGAACTACTTAAACAAGGTAATTTTGAAATGCCTTTGTAGCCTTTTCCAGTAATCCGAAATTTGAATACTCTAATTCACTTTGATTATATTCTGGTGGTTTACTTGAAAGTGGTGGATGCCACAGCCTTATCTTGTCCAAACTTGTTTATGGTCTCTCTCAGCAACATTGTATTTTTTATTTTATAATCTTGGGTTTTGCAATGGAAATGATAAAAACTTATTAAATTAAAATAATTGGTTTGATATCATGACTAAGCTACTTTCTCAAAACTATGAGTATGGTATCATGTTTTCTAGTGAATACAATATTAGAAATCCGAGCCTCTAGTTTTTTGAGTCCCAAGGGTTTTGTGGAAAAATTCGAAGAACACAAGTTCCAGTGGCACTGGACTTTTTAGTTCATTCCATTGTCCTTAACAAATAGCCTTTGAGTCCCAAAAAGTAGAGGTTGGCTGTGCACATTTTGTGTCTGATTGCCTACCTGCCAAATTTTACTTTATGGATCTTCCATATTAAGGTCCTTCTGTGCAATCCATCATAGAATGGATTACTACTTTTTATCTACAGTACAATCCTTGCGTGATATGTGGTTTCAAGGAATTTTGGTGTGTATTATCGTTTAATTTTATTAACGTCTTCATGAATTTGTTTGGTCATCATGCTTTTTCTTCCATCTTTCTTCCCTTTTTCCTCCCCAAATTTTACCTTGCAGAGAAAGGAGCTATAATTCATCTTCTGCGTTATTATTGTTATTAACTTTTTTGAAATTTATGGCCTTGATTGTTGATTGTTTTGAACTGAAATATATTTCTTTAAATGTCCTAATTGCAGGCTCTCGATACATTCAATACAGCTGTTGTATCACCTATATACTATGTGACGTTTACATCATTAACCATTTTGGCTAGTGTTATCATGTTTAAGGTATTATTTTCTGCCAACCTAAAGTATACTTGTGCTTTTGCTTGAATAGCTGCCTATTTTATACCTGCCTACACTCTTGATTGATCTATTATGTGCTTCTGTTGCTTTAGATATTTAAAATTTTGTGCTTATCTGCCAAAATTGCAAGAAACTATTACTAAGATGCATGACAAAGACTTCTCCAGGAAACTACTGTGATCGCACTGGTAGCTTTAGCTCATGACTATTAGTATGCATTTATCAATGTGTAACTTGACTATTGTACTCTATTGCATTTAATGCCTTCTCGCAATACAAGTTTAGAAACTTGGGGTTAGAATTATAAGCGCTAGATTGCCTCTTTGCAACCCATACTAACATCCAGTAGCTGACCTTTCTCCTGCAATGCCAATCCGCGAAAAGAAAAGAATAGGTATATTTTGATGCTAAAGTGGATATAGCCAAAAAAAAAAAAAAAAAAAAAAGGTGGATATAGCCAATTCCTTTGTGAATGACTCCTAAACAAAGATTCGATGAAAATCATAATCATAAATTGGCTTTGGAGGAGGGCTGTAAGTAGTTTAGTTTTGTATGCTTAGATTAGATTATTAAAAAGGATGGTGCAACTGTAAACTTTGGGCTGTCAAATGCTAAATTGAGTATGAAGTCAGCTAATTTGCATGACTATAGTTGGAGATCCAGTTTTTGTACTTCGTCTCTCTCACAGCATCTTGGATTGATGGGACTGACATTGTGCAATGTCTTAAATTATGTTACATGGACTCTTCACTACATGTAGCATCCGTGTCAGATACATGACACTAGGACAAGGGTGCTGGTATGTGTCCAACACATTTGGTGGGGTATACACCTAAAAAACATGTCAAATAATTCAACTTTATTCAATTTTAGCTTCGAAAAGAGTTAAACGTCTATTTTGAACACTATGTTATATAAAAATATTATTTTATTCCAAAAAATAGAAGTAAAATATTAAGTAGTATGAATCTTTAGTGGCGTCATTGTGTCTTTTTGTTTGTGGATTTGATACATGCCTGCACCCGGTACATACCCGTGTCCTAGTAACATATGCTTTACATGTTTAGAATATTAACATTCTCGATGATCAGCTAATATTACTTTTCGTGGTCACTTGAAGAGTGGTAGTTGCAAATCCCTTCATTTTCTCTTTTCTATGTTGTTGGTTGAGGAGGCTCTTCGTTGAAGTGTCATATTTGCATATTTTTGTAATTTTTTTTTTCACTCATTTATACCTTGGTCTAACAAAAAATTCATCATCTCTATGACTTACAGAATATGAGATGATAGAATCCTTTCCTGGCATCACGTTTGGGTTGACTAGATGAATTTTTTTATTTCTCTGTATAAATATATTTTGGATGTGAAAATAGTACCTTTATCATCTAACATGCTCAGTACTTTTAGGGATGACAATCTGCTGCATCCTGCCCCCTAATGGGATGGGTGAGGGAAAAAGCTTGAATGGGGTTAGAGCAGGGATGGGGATAAAGGAAAAAGAAAAAGAAATTCTCACACTGAGACGAGGCAGGGTCGAGGAAGGGGTCCCCCCACCTTGCCCCGTATTGTTTATGTATTAAATGCAATAATATCCTTTATTTTAAATTTTATTATACTAATGTTTCAAATACATACATATAATTTTCCATGAATATGTTCTTTTTGATAATTATTTATAGAAAGTGTTACATGCTAATATATTATCACGATATATCAAATAACACTAAAAAAAAAATTGAAAGCGGGATGGGGTGGGGATGGGGTGGGAATGAGGCTTGTCCTAAATGGAACGGGGTATGGGGCTTTTTTTTTCTTCTAAACAAGGATAGGGATGGGGAGGGCATCCCCTCCCCCATTGCCATTCCTAGGTGTTTCATATTAATTTTGCATTTTAGGGATTTAGTTGTATCTACTTATTTCAAGTTTCACAATTAATGCTGGAACATACCTGTTAATCTTGTATTTCTGTTAGTCTTATACATCATGACACAGGACTGGGCCGGGCAAAATCCAACTCAAATTGTTACAGAATTTTGTGGGTTTGTGACCATTATTTCTGGTACCTTTCTTCTTCACAAAACTAAGGACATGAATGACTGTATGTTCCCGCTTTTCTGGCTTATTTCCTATTATTTTGAATTGGTTTTCCATAGCGTGTTGGTCAACAGTTCCATTGTGCTTTCTTTACAGCTTCTTCACCATGCATGTCAATGCGCCTTTCTAAGTATAGTGAAGAAAATGGATTTGATCCTGAAGGTATCCCTCTTCGGTGCCAAGAACCCAAATCACCATGAAGGTATTGTTCAAAACTTTAATCTGCCATTAACCAGGACCTGCATTATTTTTGGCGGGGAGGAACACTGAAACAATCATCAACCTGTATTTATATTGGATGGAGTAAACTAGCCCACATATTCCTTCCAATTGCAATTAGAAAAGATGGCAGGAATTGTCTCGTCTTGGATTGGATTGGATTGAAATGATATCACATGCTTTCTTTCAGCTGCTGCTGTCAAATGACTCGAATACCCCTTTCAGCTCCTCAACCTTCCCTTTCTTCCATTCAAGGACCATCTTTGGCAATCGTGGTGGCATTGAGCATATTGAATTTGTATCATGTATCTTAGATCTCAAATTTTCCAAGAAGGGACATCCCAGCTGATTTGGCTCACGAAGTTGAGGAAAAGGCAAGTCAAACACAACCGTACAGGTACTCAGAGAACATGCTTGTTCAATATACTTACAGCTGAACTAAGACTCTTCCTCGTGCTTTTTAATTTTTATTATTAATCATTTAGAAGAGGGAATCAAATGATGCGGTGCCCTTTGCATATATTTCTTTGGTTGTACTTTATTGTTCACTCTGTAATTGGGGATTTTTGTGAGGAATGGGGCTGAAGGAAATGCAAGCTCCTTGCATGCAGGTATAGGTGGAGAACTTTGAATCAAGAAAATATAGTATTCTCTGTGAGTACCTTCTGTAAAACACCATCTGCAATAAGGCATTTAAGAGCTTATTTCTATGCATTTCTTGAAAGATTTTCCCTAGAAAGTTAAGGATTTGGGGCTTTAAGAGGTTACCATAATTCATGCATTGAATTTTTTTTTTTTAGTCTAATTTGTTTGGTACCTGTGTTATAGGTCAAGCACTCACACACACAATTATAAAAGCAAAAATATTCTTGGTTGAAGCAAGCTCTAAGAAAGCTTGGATTTTGTGAAATTTAGTGAAATAACAACATTTCTGAAGTAGATAAATATGGACTTCCCAAGTCCTGGGAGGATTTGAACCAACTCTGTTGCTGATAACACTACCAACTTTTACAACTTCCCTATAGGATCTTTAATGAAATGAATAGAGGCTTGGTCTGATCCAACTATAAATCTCACCTCTCATCAATCCCAAAGTCATTAATAAGAATAATGACGAGTAGTCCGACTTTTAGATGTATTTTATTGATTTATGTGAGTGAGGATGATATCATAATGTCATTAAATATGAATTTAGCCTATTGTTTGACATCAGGTCATTAGGTAGTAGACTTGCAACATAACGTGTGGAAGCTTTCGAAAATTTAGCCTATTATTGGGCTTTCCATCATTATTCTAATGGGGTCATACTGGGTGGAAGCTTCCGTGCCCAAATGACAGAATGAAAACAACCTATAGCACCAGGAATATGGTTAACGCCTTCTGTAAGCCCAGTAGTCAATATCATAAACATTGTAGAAAAATCAGCAAAAAGGGAAGTAATTGTCTCTGTTCTATAATTGCCCGATCAATCCGGCGTTAGATGAGATGTCACTAAATGAGTACAATTATATATAATATATTTATAAATATACATATGTAGCAAATAAAAAACAAAAAAAACATGTTTTTTCATGCTAGGATGCTATTCACTTGTCAACATATTCAGACACCGGAAACTTACAATAAATAATTAATTGCTGGCTTAATCTAGTAGTAACTCTAGCCATTACAAATGGGAGGCTGAACTTATATATATATATTTAAATATATGCACTCAGACACACATATACATCTATGCATATAACACAAAGGAAAAGTTTAAATGCACGGCTGTGGTCACATGGTGCTTGTGTCTATTGGCTCAATTCTAACACAAATGCGGATGATTTTCACACAAAGACAATTACTTTAGTCGATAACTTAGACCTAAAACGTCTATGGAAGAGTTCTCCCACCCTTGAATTATAGTCCCACTTGAAATATATATAACAGTAAAAAAAAAATATGGAGTCTTTTAAGCCCGAATTTTCTGTTCAAATGTCATATTTTTTATCCACACAAACTAATTGTCTACAACAATGGAATTTTTATTTTTTTGGACTAATAAATGTGAGGTCGAAGGTCAAGGTTTTGAGTGTGAAAGCAGTGACGGTGCAATTAAAGTTCGTCTTCTCCTCCAAATAGACCGTAAGAGAAATAATTTTGTGCAATTAATATCAAATATCAAATATATATGTATGTGTGTGCGTGTATATATATATATGAAGAAAGATGAACAAAGCTTTCTTAAGCCCCTAAAATTGAGTGGTGCCCACTGCCACCCACCACACACTTCAAATAAACAAGTGAGTGTAAATAATAAAAAGCTGCAGCAGTTGAACTAATATTTCTTTCCAAAACAAACATCAACCGAGACCTTCCACACCAACCACCAGCCTATCATTTCCCTCTCTCTTTATTGCATGGAGCTCATTAACCAAACCATGGCCACCGAAGACTTCAGCTTCCCCACCGTCCCCGACACGCCACCGCGCTTCCTCGAGTCACCACCGCTGTGGCGCACCTCTTCCACCGCAACCACCTCAGGTCATGAATACACAGCAAGAGAAGGTCCAAAAGAAGAAGATCACAAAGATGAAGAAGAAGAAGATCACAAAGATGACTTCTTTCAATTTTCTGCAACAAACCCAATCAAGTATACTGAAAGAAGGAGCTTTTCGTGGATAGAGCGGGGCGTAAAGACGAGAACTGAAGATGGTTTAACTGATGAAGATGGTAGTGAAGACGACGGTGATGAAGAGGACAAGATGGACATGTTATGGGAGGACTTGAATGAAGAAGTACTACTGTCCAGAACAAGGCCGGAATTTCCGGATATGTCGCCGGGGAGGATTGTGGAGTTTGGTTGTGTTAAATCCTTAAAGTTGTCAAGAACTGGTGGCACAGTGCTTTCTAGGAAGAGGCCAGGCATGGTGACTTTCATGAAGGTCTTGAAGAAGCTCTTCTTGATTCAGAACTCTCATCCTAAGCTCAAGATCAAGAGCTCATCATGGTGATCAAATTAACTTTTGCTTCGATTTTGTTGTTTATTGATCTCAATGGCTATTAATTTGATTGATATATTTATATATATATATATATATATATTATATGTTTGTGTATATGAGGATTAAGGGATAGCTCAGAGCACCAGTTCAGGGATAAAGGGGTAGTTTTGTCATTTCACATAAAAATGAAATGAAGATGCACCAACTATATATATGAATGTTAGTTAATTTGGCAAAGTGGTGTAAGATTGTATAGTAGAATTACTTACTTGAAAATGGGAGATGTTATTTTCATTTTGTAATCGTTTCACATGATATGTGGTGGAAAGATACAAGTGAAAGAGAGAGTTAACTGTAGAGAGACACGACGTGTATTTATATTTACATTACATCAAATGTTATTTTGAAAATCTGAAATTTTCTGCTAGAAAGTGTTAAATACGGTAGCTTGTTTCATCTACCAATAGATTTTGATTTACATGGGATTTGGATATGGTAGTCATCTTTGATGATACGTGCAAGATATAGAGAGAAAAATTAGTAAAAAAAAAAAAAAAAAAAAAAAAAAAAAAAAAAAAAGGCAAGACAAAATGTTAAAATTAACCAAGAAGTTAACACACATAAGAATTTATGCTAAAATATTTGTTAATAAATAGAACATTTGTCATACCATATACGTTATTATCCTATAAATTCAAGAGGCGAATATGATGTTAGGGTGGTGTCATGAGGTTCCTGACCCCACTCACATCATCCTTATTTGACATTTTTTAAATTCTTAGAATGTACTATTCTTTCCAAAAAAAAAAAAAAATTACTAAGCCAATTAAAAGAGGAAATAGTAATGACCAATTGATACATTACTATTTTATTTTATTATTATTATTTTTTGTTTCAGTGGAGGTAATATACTTAAATAGATCTATCATGCATACACATTGGAATTGAGAATAAAATGCACGCACGTAGGGAGTGCGTTTACGCACCTATTTGGGCATCTTTAAGTTGGAAAAATTATTCAACCAGTTTGTTTAGAATGCTAAATTGGGAGTAAGACAAATCAATGCAACCTCAAGTATAAGAGTATATACATATTTAGATTAATAGATACAAGAAAATAAATACAAGGTTATATTTTTTTCTTGTTTGTACCAAATTAGACCCCATTATTGTGACGGGCAGAATATGCCTGATTTGGCCATTTCAAAAAGCCACTAGTCCTAGGTTAAGAATTTTTTGGTTGACAGGGCTCAGTCCATTGTCCTGTTGACCCAATTAGATTGGGCCTGAGTTGGTCGGCCCACACAAGCCAATTTGGCAGCCCAAAAAAAAAAAAAAAAAAAGTGAGTGTCGTCGCTCCATTGGCTTCTTAACTTTCCTTATGCTAATCACACAGCAAAAACAAAAAAAAAAACAAAAAAAATAATAAAAAAAACTTTATTTATGCTACAATATTCAAATGATTATGTACAATTGCAAGATATTGTGAATTATTTGTTTATAATTGCTAATTAATATAGCATGGTTCCCTATGTCAGAAGTAACCCTCCCTCTCCCATATTCATTGTGCATAGTACATGCAATTGTCTCCCTCCATTTAATTATGTATTTATAGGCTTATGCATGTCATGCATCAATTTTAATGCAACGATGCTTATATATATATATATATATGCTTATATATATATATTCATTCTCAATTTTCTTCCAAGCACCTTCTGCTTACTTTTCTTTTCCTTCATTTCATTTAACACGTTATCCTCAACCATGAAGCAAAAAGGGTTGGTAAATTTTTTCTTATAAATACTGTTTTATTTATTTATCATTTTATTTATGTATTTTATTGATCATGTTGTATTTGTAAGAAACATGACTGGTTGTTCAAGCATCTATGTACTGTCTAGCTAATACTTGTTTAATGTCATTTCAATTTTGGCACCATGTCCGCATCCAAAATTGGGACAACTAGTCACGTAAAGATGCTAAGTTCTATAACGTAATCTTTCAAACATAAATATGATTGTGAACTTTTTAAATAAAAAAAAATAATAATAATAAATGATATATTTAATTATATATACAATTTTTCTTCACCTATCTTAGAATTGTTTGCGTGACTTTATCTTCTTCACCTTTATAACATATCAAATTGTTTGATGCTAAAGTTCTTCAGCTACAAGTATTCTTTCCCCACTAGTAAGAAAAAGGGTATAATTTATACCACAAACCAAAATTGATTCTCATCAAATTGATCAAAAGTGGTTTATATACATCAAACAAAGTTTAGTTAAGTACTATTCCAATAATAATAAAAGAAACTACTTCTTGTACCTATGAAGGAGGCAATTGTGGAAAGGGTGTCTCTTACATGTTTCTCTCCATTGTTGCTCAGAGGAACCCTATCTTGTTCTATCAACAACAATGAAGTCGCGGCGGTTTTCACTTCTCTGATGACCGATCTCCAGAAGCTCCAGAAGTCACTCGAAGAACCCTCCATTTCGCTTCAATGGTGCAAAGAAGCCATGCTAGTACTCAAAAAGATGCACTCAGAGTTGCTTGGATTTCTTGAGAAATCCAAAGTGCCGATTTCAGGGGCTGATGTGGATGGTTTGTTGGATGATGAGTACATGAAAGACACTCTAAATATTTTGGACTTGTGCAATCTGCTCAAATCAGCCATTTCTGGACTCACCAGGTATAGACTAATGGTTGATTTTGCTGTTAAGAATATATCCGACAGCGAGTGTAAAGCCGCGGCAAGTATTGCTGAAATTCAGAGACTCAGAGAGGAGAGTAAGAAGGTCTATGGAGCTGAGAAGTGGAAAAAAGTGAATTTATATAAAGCTGGCATGCCTAAAACCAGGTGTAAGGGTAGTACTATTGTTGATCATGCAATTTCTGCGATAAACTGTTGCATAAATATTTTGTCTATGCTCATTTTTTCTGTAGAAATCTTCCCAATTCCAATTAAGATGATGGATAAGGAAGATTTTCGCGGTTTTTCTCATGAATTGAAGCCAATATTGGAATCTATTGAGAGGCTTGTTGCTTGTTTTACGAAAATAATTCCGAGGGATGGGGATATTGGTTCACGGCTGGCCTTAGTTGAGAACCGGATGATTCAGGCAGCAATAATGGACATTCAGGCTCAGGTTACAAACAAGCATGTAGCTGTGGACAGAGACAAGCTTGTGAAGAGTTTGGAGTTATTAGAGCAGAGGTCTATGGCTCTCAAGGAGGGTTTGGAGATGTTTGATTCAGCAGTGACTCAAGTGTTTGAAGAGGTTGTCAAAGGAAGGAATAAGGTACTGGGAATGATTACTACAAGCACTACAACTTAGATATAAATAGTCAATCTGGAATCTGGATTCTCATCTTACAAATCCTAGCTGGGACTTGTAGAACACACACACATACACACACACACAAAAATTATATTTTTTGTTTTTTTTGTTTCTCTATTACTTCATACAATCAAATATCACATGCTTGTTTTGTTTCATTGTGATTAATTAGTTTTTGGGTACTTGTACAAATTGATAAACACTGACCTTGATCATCATAATTATGACTTTGATCTATTTTTTTATTATGAAGAATGTCAAACAACTCAACTGGATTGCTAGTGTTAAACAATCACTAAGCTAAGATCATTCAATTTTACAAATAACATTCACATTTTCATGGAAACCAATAAGGCAATTAGTGAACTGAACAACAACATCAAATCCCCTAAAACTACAGAAAGCCACAACATTGAAAAATAAAACAGAACATAAACAACATTGAAAGCCTAAACCAAAACATAAGCCCAAACTGCAGCAAACTGGAGATCATGCACAGCATACAAGCAACTGGATTGTTGGTCAATCTTATTAGTTCCACAAATCATACTGATTATTGAGAACAAGTTCTAAAGCCACAAGACATATTTTATCTTATCATATATCCAAGAAGTCCGTGAGAAGTACGTACCGAAGAACTCTAGGATGGATCAAAATGCTGTATACTCGAGCTTTGGTGGATTAGCAACAAAACTATCAATGATTTGGTCAATCTTTGTGTACTCAAAGTCCGGATATAGCTCTGACACCTCAATGTCATCCTCTCCTAGTTCAAAGTTTGTTGTGTCCCCCTTCACAAATATGCTATGAAGGATTGAAGCTTGTACATTATGCGGATGTTCTGAGGCTGCAAGAAAATTAAAATTTGAACTGTCTTAAAAACTCAAGCTTTAGCCACATGGTTAGCATATAAGACATTAGACTAATACTATTTAGAAAAATGGTGTAGAAACATCCTTACTCTCTGAAAGCTTCACAATCTCCTCCTCTGAAACATGAACCTTCCTATGATTTCGACCTGTTTTCTTCTCCCAAAGTGATACCAATTCTAGTTGAGACATAACATTGTGTGGAGGCCGGAGCAAGACTGTTTTGTTGCAGGTCCTTGGGTCATTTGCCACTTTAATTGTATAAATGGCAATGTCTTCTTTAGATGCAAACGCCACTATACATGACATTGCAGATTAAAAGAAATGAGCACAGAGATTAACAATATTACTCCTGCCACTATGAGATCTGGGGAGGGTTTGATGTACACAGTCTTACCTGTCCTCCCGTGACCTGAAGGTCTCAATAGAGCAATCTTACCATTACGTCAAAGCCAGCCCTCGTAAATGAGGGTACTAACGAATTAAATTTGTTTGGTTCAGTTTTTAGAAAACAGTTTCATTTTCGAATCTATGAGAATAGAAAGTATTGTTATTAGATAACTGAAGAAATAAAGAAGTCCTTTATTGTATAGTTGAAAAAGGAAATACCCTTGGCATCACCGGTGCCATATATTGCCAGTTCCTCTGGTTGGTCATGTGGATGGAACAGATGATTAAAGAAGTATTCAGCAAAACAAGTTGAAGAAACATATGTGTAAGGGATCCCAGCCTCTTCTGTTGCCCTTCTAATCTTCTTCTTTTTGTCAAGGCAAGCTTGAAATGGGGGCAAACCAATTATTCTGTCCTCTTCACATCCAAAATCTGATGGAATGAATCGCTGCAGGTACATACATGACAGTGACATAATAGAAAAAACAAAAACAAAAAGTACTTAAGGTGGGACTTCAATTTATATAATACGATTGATTATAAGGAAAAAGTTCTAAAATGTGGATCAAATTTTCATTATTTTTGTAATGTGTTATGAAATTTTTTTTGTTGATCACTAATGGGCATTAGTGCTGATGATATGATACATAGATTGAGTATTCGAGTATTGCTAAGAGTAATATTGTGAGTGTGTACATGTTTATTGTAACTTTTGAGAAAAAAAAATTAAATAAAAATTGTTGATGAGTACCATCTTCATATACCTGCATGTGGTAAGCATATATATAGCTAGCATTCCTTGCATCAAACATTTCTTTTTGAGTATGATTGGGCGACATCACCAAAAATGGACAAACCATAAATAGGGCTTACGATAGTTACTGTAGCGTTCAAAATTAGAAATTTTTTATTAATATATATACATTGAACCACTGTCGGTCATATTTCTCTTCAATATATATAATACAATTGATAAGTGTACCTTCATATTACCAGCAATCTTCATGGCGTTGATAATATTAAGTTGGTCCAAAACCTGAGGGATTGCAAGTGTAGAGATTACAACATCCACTTCTTTCATGATTGATACAAGCTTCTCATGCTCGTCCAATTCTCCCTGCAGTCATGACTCATGAGAGTGAGAGATATGACATATTATATATATATATATGTTTGAAAATCAAAGTGACAGAATTAAATTACCTGGATGATTGTGACGCCCATGGATTGTAACTCCTCGTGTAGTTGTAATTTGGAGGGGTTAGTATCGAGTGTGAGTGGCCTTCCATAGACATATGTTGGATGTCCCATCTTGATGCTTGCCTTCACCATGCACTTACCTACATATCCAGTTCCCCCAAATACCAGTATCTTGCTCACCCCACCATCCATTCTCTGATCTCTCTCTCTCTCTCCCCCTCCCTCCTGCACTCTCGCTGATGGAAGAGAAATCATGAGCTGAGAGAGAGAAGATAGGTTGTGTAGGTGAAGTGTACGGGAGGGTAGTTCAGTCATTTCACACCAAAAACAAAAAGTTCAACATGGGTATCAAATTTTTTGTGCAGAGTGTCTTCCCATGTCACTCGCATTATTATTTTTTTAGAATATTCCATATTTTACTGAAATGTATTGACTTTTGACTCTATGTTCTATGCTTATGTAATTTTTTTTATAAAGAAACATGGTTTTTTTTTTTTATTATTATTATTTTATGTAAATACTTCTCAAGAAATGTGGAAAAAAATAACCATTTTTTTTAAAAAAAAGTGTTATATGAGAGTATGTTTTACTGTTACCTAGTTTCCAGAACATAGATATGAAGAAAACTTTCAACAAAATAAAAAATTTTCATTGTTCTATTTTTTTAATTACTTGTGAATCATTTTTGTCTTCCTTTGAAAAGAATAAAGTGCTATTCAAACTTTAAAAATATAAATCTATAAACAATTGTATATTAAAGTTTTTGGTTGATACCACAAATTCATTACCAAGGTGTACCTGTTGGAAACGAACAAGTTTTAAAACTTTTTGAGGGATTTTGATTCATAGATCTTGATTTATCATATAGAGACAAGTTTTATGCAAAAATAAAAATATGATGTATCATTCAATTAACAGATTGAATACCTACACCAAAGGTCTAAGTAAACCTTTAAAACTTTCCTCTAAAGTGAATGTTCTCACTTATTGTAGATCCCTTAGCAAGATGCCTTCTCCTTAGATCTCCATCTTCTTGGTAATTGTTTTGCCTTTAGGAATCACTCATAAGCCTCCATGAATGACCTTGAAAAACTAGGCTTGTGGGAGTCTCCATTAGATGAGAACATAAACCATAATTTTCTAGAGAGAGAAAATAAATTCCTTTTTCCTTCTTCTAAAAATCATCACCAAAATATACATAGACTATGTATATTTATAGGCAACATAAAGGTAAAGAAAAGGAAACAACGAATCCTTCTCAATCTCTAATTTACATGTCTCAAATCTAATATGATTCCAATATCAAGTTGGGCTATGAGTGAGAATCCATTAGGCCTATTATTTTACTGGCTACAATGAATTAATAATTGGCCTGGTCCACGGACCCAATTCAATCAATTCATAAATTAATTTCTACTCCACTAAAAGAAATTAATTGAACTCCAATTAAATAATAAATAACCTCTAAGTCAATATTACACTTTGACCTCTCTATGCATAATTAGTTATTGAATAAATAAAGCCATCAATCCGACTACTTAATTAATATATTTATTTTGATACCTTTGATTATTTCTGACTCGATCACAATAAAACATTTGTTTGACAAAAATAATAATTTAAATAAATAAATATATAATAAATCATTTTGTCTAAAAATACACGAAGGCCTTCGAATTTACTTTGTGATCAACCATAATCAATACAAAATAAATACAAGTAGCAATGATGCAAATATTGAAAATATAACCCTCTAACTATTAATTACATAACTACCCAAAGTGTCGGTCTAAGGATCTCGAAGAATTCGCCGAACAAATCAAAGTAATTATTAATTAATAAAAGAGTTTATACTTTTCTCATACTTAAGAGTCAAATGCCATGACGGTAATAGGGAGCAATTTCATACGACGGCTCTTGTAATATATCTCAATCTAACGCGGATCCAGTTCAAGTCTTAATTAATTATGAGTCCATCCATAATTACTGACTATGAGCAATTTATGATTACTATTTATATATCATGCATTGATTGCCATCACATACATATATATAAATATCTCTTGTAATCAAATGGACACTATCAATTCTATAATGAATCGAAATATAATATATTGAATTCACTAATTGTATAAAACATAAATATTTCAGAAACGTCAGGAACATATGTCACTTTAATCCAAACAGGAATTTGCTATGCCAGGGCATATAAATCCCAACAGCTCCCACTTGCCCTCATAGCCAATTCAAATTGCACCTAACTCCAATGTTATCCAGATGATGATCAAAATTATTGATCAATGACACCTTTGATAATGGATCAACAAAGTTGTGTTCCAATGCAATGTTCTAGCTACAAGTACATTTTCTTGCCGGACAATATCATGTAGAACATGATACTTCTTCTCAGTGTATCTTGTTCCTCTATAGTACCTTGGGTCATTGGTTTGGACTACTTCTGCACTATTGTCACAACATAGCTCAACAGGCAGGCTAGTATACTCCACAACCTCTAAATCAATGAGATCAAACCAATAGGCTTCCTTTGCCGCCTTTAAGGCTGCAATATATTCCACCTGCAGGTTTGAGTCAACAGTTGAAATCTGCTTAACAATCTACCAACTGATTTCCTTTCTATTAAGTGAACATACACAAAGTCATGAACCTCATAGTATCTACTTCTGATTGAAAATCAAAATTAGCATACTTGACTAGGATCATATCATCACATCCATAAATGAGTATGATATCATTGATTCTCCTTAGGTACTTAATAATATTTTTCACAACAGACCAGTTATCAAGTCCAAGATTAGGCTGATATCATATGACTATCCCTACAATGTAGCGGATGTCGTGTTTGGTATAGACCATAGCATATATGAGACTCCTATATGCCAAAGCATATAGTTCCAGTCTCATTTGCTCAATCTCCTCTGCTAGTCTTAGAAAACTACTTAATAGAGAGAGCAATCCATATTAATAAAGCAAAAACTCATTCTTTGAGTTATACATACCAAATCTAGTCAAAACTTTATCAATGTAGGATTATTAAGATAAGCCTATTTTCCTTTTTAACCTGATCTTGCAAAAGCTTGATCCTAAGAATATAACTTATATCTTGAAGATCCTTCATTTAAAAGTAATTGAACAACTACCTTTTTATTGATGACAAAACTTCCACATCATCCTAAATGAGTAGGATGTCATCAATATATATAGAATCAGAAAAATAATGACATTCCCTTGTACACTCATGATTTATTCACTAAGAAATCTTCTGGTGTCTTTTTGTAGATTAACTTGCCTTCCATAGGTATCACCCTACTAGAAAGTTCTACAAGATCCCAGAATTTATTAGAATACATAGATTCCAACTCTGATTTCATAGTAACTTGCCAAAATGATCTGTATTCATATCGGTTCACGCTTCCGTGTAGCTTACTGGATCCAACTCATGTTTAACAGGGATGTCCATAATGGTCTCACCTAAAAACATGATTTTATTGGATTGGATGATAATCCTCCCACTACATCAATGTACCGATGCAGGAATCTGTGTACTAGATGATGCTAACGCATCAATAGGGAATTCATATATTATTTTAAATCTCTATACTAAGTGTGTTCATATGTGGTACATCTGGTACTCATACCATATTCTCTAACACTATGCTACTAGGTATGTGATTCATAATATGATTCTCTTATAGATAAACAGTGAGTGTAAACAATCAACTTTTATCATTGAGATCATAAAATAATCTGTCCTAGTGACTTTTAGAGTAGCTATCAAATCTATCATGCGTATGATCTGTTTCCAACTTACTTGTCCATATCAAGCGCACATGTGCAAGACTACCCCATACGTGCATGTGATTCAAACTAAGATTCAGTAAAAAACACAGCTCAACGGTATCCTTGAGACAGACTAAGATGGAATGCAGTTCATAATGCGCATCGATGTCATTAACGCTAAACTCTTATATGAAAGAGATAATGTGGCATAACTGATCATAGATCTAACCATGTTAAGTGGAATTCTGTTATTCCTATTTGACACCTAAATGCATTTAGCGTCAATTGGTGAAAACTGGTACACAACACCCTCATTGACCATATAGTCTTTGCATTATCCCAAGAAATACTCATTTCCTCGATCAGATCGAAGTATCTTGATAAGTTTACCTAATCTGTGCTCCACATCAGTCTTGACCTTCTCAGAATATACCAAGAGTTTAAGACTTGTGTTGCATCAGATAAACTTATCCAAAACGTGAGTAATCTTGCTTGGATGTTCATAAGACCACACGTGTCTGTGTGTACCGACTCCAATTGTCCTTTATGTCTATTTCATTTGGCTGATTAAGCCCTTAGAGTTATCTATCCTTCAAAACAGGATTCACAAGTTTGGTTTAGGCTCCTCTGCCTCACTAGGTAATAAACCTTTTTTGACCAATCTTTGAATCTCATTTTGATTGATTACAACCCAAAAATAGACACAAAAAAATACAATGAGTCAGAAATAACAAATTTTCTTTTAACATTCAATCTAGATATGCAACATTAATTTCTACATCCTGTAAATCTTAAGAGTTTGTGATTATAGTATATTAACCATCTTTCAATGCACCAGAAGTAATCGCATATCTATTCAATTTTATAAAACCAGTTTTACAAAATAACGATCCAGTTTTTATAAACCACAAGTGAAACAAAAAATTAGATAGCGTCTAACCTCTGTGCATAAAGATAATTCTCTAATACTAATATCCTCATACTCTATAATTTCAGATGTAATACTCCCACTGACTTAGCTACAACCTTGACATCAGGTTAAGTACAAATATATTCCATATCATCGAGGCTTCTGGATTCCTGAAATCCTTGCAATGAATTGCAAACATGTTTAGTGGCTCCAGAATCTATTCATCAGGAATTAATAGATACAACCACATAACATGGCTCAATGATTAAATATATATTTTCCTATGCCACGTCATTGCTTAGACAGTTTGTCCTTTAGTGTCTTAGTTAGCGACAAAAGAAACAGTTTTCTTTGCCCTCAACATATACTGCCTTATTTCCTTTAACCTTTTGGATACCCATGTTTTGTGCTAGCCTAATCCTATTATCATCCTTCTTCTTTGTTTTGCCCGTCCACTTGGGCCTAGAAAAAGATGGTATAGACT